GCGACACGAACACGACACCAATGCTAACGTGTGACTGAGACACATTACCGTGTACCGAACATTGCCGAATAAGCACGAAGCTTTACTAAATAACCAAAAAGGGATGTCCAATACGCGTGCCTGAGGTTGTTGTTTAATTGATTTTATTCAAATCGATTGAATTTAAGTCATAAAAATATATTTTTGTTTTCAATTTTGTAAGTTTTTAAATTTTTTCAAACAGTCTTTATTCAAGTAGACGTAAATAGATAACTGATATTTACGTAAATCATGTCTTTCAACTGAGAAAATAAAATTTGATTAAGTACTTAGTTTTTTTTTGATAAAGTCGAAATCTCGTTTATTAACGACAATATATATTCACTATATCTGTGAATCTATTTCGTTTATTATCTGATATAAACAAAAATCAATAACTTCTAAATAAACCCAATCGATTGAGATATTTGATTGAATAAAAGGTCGATTGTGTTTACATATGGTCAATCTCTAGGCTAGACCACCGGCCCCCCGTACGTCGCCTCATGCCACCATTTTGTTCCAAGAAAAAGTTATTGCGCAGCCTCCTGCGCGAAGTTCGGACTCGCCAAGATACGTCGGCCTTATAATACAGCAGACTTACGGTACGTGTACACCAAAACCGATTTTGTCGGCCGATGGCGGACAGAACTATGCGGACGAGTGACTCGGACGTGTATGTGCTTACACTGCAATAGTGTACCACTTGTGCCGACATTGGACGTTGCCAGTATTCTTTTCTATTTTTATATTTTCGATATCCATAGTCGTTTAGGTAGATAACAACACTGACAGAAACAACAGAATAAAAACAAAATGATTAAATTATACTATAAATGAGTTAGACTTGGAGAATGTGTGGCATAATGTTAAGAAAGGTTTAGTGGATGCAGCTACCGAAGTATGTGGTGTTAGTAAGAGAACGAATGAAAGGAAAGACAATACGTTATGGTGGGATCATGAGGTACTATGGAAGTTGAAGCAAAGAAGAGAGCATGGCTAGATTTACTAGCGACCAAAGCTGGTAATTCTGGCGGTAAGAATGATGAGAATGAAAGAAAAAAGGCAGAGTTTGAACGTTTAAATAAGAGAGTAAAAGAATTAGTTGAAAGGAAAATGCAAGAAAGAACGGATAAGAATGATAGAAGAATATCGGATAACTTCCAGGCCAAATATTAAAATGTTTTGGAAACTCGTAAGAAATACCAGGGGACTTTCAAAACAGCCTAGATTGAATGCGATACGAGACGAGAATGGCTGTATCCTGAATGATGAAGTGTTGAGTCTAAAGGACGGAATATTTTGGAAGATTATTTGGAAGGAATATTTTGAAAGCTTATTTATGAGTGAGGAGAAGTGTGAACTAAATGAAATAGAAATTCCGAAAGAAGATGAAAGAGATAAGTATAGATGAAATAATGAAAGCAATGAAAAGCATGAAAGTAGGTAAGGCAGCCGGATATGATAGAGTTTCACTCGAAATGCTAAGGGCTGGAGAGGACGTGGTGGCAGGCCTGCTGTACACCTTGTTTAATTTATGTTGGGAACTAAAGCGGGTACCGGGAGACAGGTGCAAAGCCGTGATAGTCCCAATATATAAGGGGAAAGAGTCACAGCAGGACTGTAAAAACTACCGTGGTATCAGCCTTCTTAGCATTGTGGGAAAACTGTATGCTAAGGTACTAATTGAAAGAGTTATGAAAGAAACTGATGAAAAAATTTGGGATGTGCAAGCGGGATTTAGAAAGGGAATGGGGTGTACAGATCAAGTCTTTTCCATGCGCATGATCGCGGAGAAGTTTTTGGCGAAAAACCATAAAGGTTTTTTGTGCGTTCATGGACTTGGAAAAGGCTTATGACAGAGTGGACAGGGATGTGTTATGGCAAACGCTGAACGCATTTAGGTTGAGCGCTGGTTTGATACAGGCATTAAAGTCTCTGTATAGGGACTCGAGTGCTTGTGTTAGAATCAACGGGGTCTACTCGGACTGGTTTGGCATCCATAAAGGTGTCAGACAGGGCTGTGCAGCTTCCCCGTGGCTGTTCAACCTATTTATGGACAGCTGTTTGGAAAATTTGAAAGTTGAAGAATGCGGGTTAAGAATGGGTGAGTTAACCATCAAATGCCTTTTGTACGCCGATGATCAAGTCATACTTGCGTCGTCGGCGGCCGAGTTGCATATGATGGTTACATTAATGAACAGGTCATTAAAAGAAAGGGGAATGAAAGTGAACGCAGGTAAGACGAAAGTGATGGTTTTTGAAAGAGAAGAAAGCAAAACGGTATGTGAAATAAGAATAGAAGGAGAGTTAATTGAGCAAGTGGATTAGTTTGTGTATTTGGGATGTGTATTCAGCAGGGATGGGAGATATGATAAGGATATTGAACGACGAGTGAATGCAGGAAATAAAGTAAATGGGGCTCTACACTCTATTGTGAAAAGTCAGAATGTGTCAAAAAAGGCACGTATGGTAATTCACAGTGCTGTATTAGTCCCTACTTTAACGTATGGTAGTGAAAGTTGGGTGTGGCAGAAGAAGCACGAGAGTAGAATAAATGTAGTAGAAATGCGGTCGCTAAGGAGTATGTTAGGGCTGAATCTGAGTGACAGGGTGAGAAACTGTGTGATAAAAGAAGAGTGAGGTTTGCAAGATGATGCGGTGAGCAGGATTAAGAAAGTAATGCTTCTGTGGTTTGGTCATGTAGAAAGAATGAATGAGGAAAGAGTGACAAAGAAAATTTGATATGGTGCAGAAGTGAATGGAAGAGTCGGAAAGGGACGTCCTAGGCGGAAGTTTGTCGACCAAATTGGCGATATTAATTGCCCGAGCAAACTTCGGCCGATGACGGATTTGGTGTATGCGAAGCGTTTGTGGAGTGCGCTGGCATAAGGTCGCGCCGCCACCTGCCCCGCAAAGCCCCTGACGTTGCTCTGCACAAGTAATTCGTTTGCCAACTGAAATTCATTCACTATTCATTAAACTGTACTATTACTCCCTGCTGAGAGTATTTAACCGTCGCCGTTCGAGCAGGGGTGTACAGACATCTGTTCTGACGGCTAAACTCGTGTTCTTGGATTGAACAAATATAAAAGTAGAATATGATAACAAAATGAGAGAATTTATCGGCTTACTTTAACAACACTCTGGCCAATTTCTAGCTATACAATTTCAAAATTTGAATAGACTATATTATGCTTGGATATTTGGATACTCTCATTTTTAATATTTTGGAGCTTAAATTGAAATTCGAGATTGTCTCTGAATATCGGGGTAAAAGAAGAAGACACTACTAATGACTCATGTTGTCATAAAGAGGCTAGTATATGTTATTATCAAAAAAATAAAATGCTTACGTTACATTGGATCGGTGTAACAATTATATAAATTAAAAAACCATAAATATGTAAATACTTTTATTGACAAGTTATTATAAAATCGATTATATGATTTTATACATATTTATACAACAACCTTTTATTATGACCCTTTCGATCAGATCTTTACGTACGAAATAAAAATATAAGCTCAAAGAAATTAGAAAAGTAATTATCAAAAAAAAAAAACTGCATGAAATTTGAGCCAAATTGTTAGTATGAACTGTAACTGAACCATTGGACATAAAGCTTTGTGGTTATTAAAAATATTAAAATTATATCACAATTCACCCGTACAACTTACAACACCCCATTATAATGGAGCCTCCACCATAAAAAAAAAATCGGTACACTTGTAATGTGTTATAACTGAAAGAATCCCAAAATAACAATACCTCAACAATAAAAATAAGAAAATATTTTTTTTTTACTTATATTACTTTGTTGTATAATTATCTATCCCTCACTTTCTGGCTTCTTCATATCAGAGTGGCAAGTGAACTAATGTCCACCAAAAATGGGAAGTAGCTACTCCAGCACATGAACACCTGTAACCGATTTCAAACGAAAATGCCACAAATGCGTTGTGACCCCTGAGGACTGAGATGGAATGTCCATAGCCTACTGTTATGCTGACTCTACATACTGTTCAAACCGAAATATAACAATAGATACAATTATGGGGATAAAAAGAGGGCGCTACCAACCCAGACGGTCTTCTACGCAAAAAAGAGCCCTAAGGGTGGTTTTATCGTCACGCCGCTAGACGCGCCGCTGGGCAGCGTGCTGTTAACAGCGCGCGCTTGAACAGCGGTGCACTATAAAACGAGATTTTTACCGCGCGTTCCGCTGCCGTGAGACAGTCGTGTACAAAATGTCTCACGTTAATGCGGTTAGAGTACGGGCTATTTACATTTTATGGAAAAGGCAACACCGATTTAGAAGAAGAGTAATTGATCCTTATAACGCTACAAGGTTACTGAGAGGCGAACACGTAACATCTTTCTCCGATTAACGAGGAAATAATTATAAATGTTATAAATATTTTCGCCTATCAGCAAGCAGTTTCGACGAATTACTTTGCAAGTTAGAGTTTTCTTTACGACGATCCTTTTTGTGTCCCATAAACATCTTCTAAATCGCACTTCCTCAATTACTCGTCTCGTATCGATGTAATTTTGTACACCACAGTACCTAACGGCGCGTCTCAACGGCGTCACACTAAAACGCATACTGGATGTAGAGGCGCCAGAGCGGCGCGCGCTTCGGCAGCGCCGGTGAACAACGCGCGTTTAACGAACGGCGCTGCTCAAACGCGCGACTTTGAAACGCAACTACTACGCCGATACATATCCGAACGCGCGCGCACCAACAGCGCTGCCGGAATGCGTAACGATAAAACCAGCCTAAACCTTGCTTAGTAAGGGTGGACGAATTTTCATAACATTCTATCTCCTTTAGATATTTTATTTAAGATGATTATAATGATTTGCGATTATTTGCCTCTAAGCAGCAAAGCATATAAACACACAGATTTGATCCTCTTCTAGCAATGGAGCTCCCCTCCCCTTCTCCTCTCAGTTACAAAAAATGTAGTAGTCCTGTCTACGCACAATAAGAAGGTGGCGAAGTGAGATCAGAGAGTAGGTCGAGTTCTTCTTCAGTCAACTGATCGCGGTGTTTCGGCCAGTCGTCCTGATGTGTGCGACGGAAATCTGCTAGAGCTGTACGTATTGTGGCTGGTATGGGATCCGGGGCGCTGGTGTGCCGTGCTAACTCGTTCAGCACATCGCCTAGTTTAGGCCCCAGGCTGTATGGCCGGGAGGTTAAATACGCACACAGCCCTAGCACCCCGCAGTGCCTTTCAACTAATTCCTGGGACCGACAGCTGTTCATCAACGAGCGAAGCGTTTCGTTTTCGTCAGGCAACGCTCGACAATGCATTAGCCCGGTCAGAAGTTTGGCTGCTGTTTGTCTCACCTGAAATAAGCAATTAATATGCTTGAATAATAATAATGGTAGAAGCGGGAATACCTGCGTTTTATTGGTCACAATCCAGTTTTCTGAAATGACATATTGAAGATTATTACAATATTGTAATATTATTCCGTCCAAGCATGCTGAAATTTCTAAAAGAACTGGATCTGCATGCAAGTTTAGCCCGTAAACCAGGAATCGCAGCCGGCGCATTGAGCACTATAACCGCGGGAAGGAGAACTGTATAATAATTAGACTTTTAAGTGTTCTTTTAGTATTATCTCTACAAAATCAATTGCTGTCCGTTGGTCGCTCTAAAACTAGAAAATGGCTCCGACTTTCATTAAAATTTTTGTGTGTGTGAAAAGTGTGTCCTGTTTGAGGTAGGTGGCGCTGTTGTCGAGATACAGAAACCACCCGTGCGAAGCCACGAAGCGGATCGCTAGTAATTAATATATTTTAATGTTATGTAAATGAATTGAATTAAAAATTACAATATTAATTGCAATAAGTAGTTATTTATACAGTCCTATCTATCCATTATGGTATAAAAAAATATTTCTCTGCGCAAGATCGTGCACAAAATACCCGGAGTGCATAAAACATCAGCGACTGCGGCAGGTAGCCTTCGTTAACTATGAGCTATGAGATCAGGAATTCAAACACCTGAGGGGGGGGGGGCCCCCGTGACCATGGGTGCTGTAAAGTACCCGAAACGTTGGGAATTAAAAAAAGTAAAACTTGAACGCGATAAAATAGTTTTTATTTCACCTCGATATGCACGCAAACAAGGTATATTGTGTGAGAGTTCTAGGAGCGCATGATATAGTAGTGACTGCCAACTTTAGACAAAATACAGACACGCCCACAAAAGAACTGGCAGGCAATCGTTTCAAGGTTATACTCTGCAGTGGATACATTGGCTATTTTTGACAGTTAACTTACCTCGAGTTTATCGTGCATAAGGTTAAGTAAAACTTCTCAGCGCGTGTATTAGGAACGCATGAATCGGGATAAACGCGCTAAATGATAACATACACGCTTAGTTTCATTTCTAGGCTACACTTTGCAGTGGAAATCAGTTTATTAAGTTACCTCGAGTCTCTTATCGCGCATGAGGTTGAGTGTAAACGCCTCAGCGCGTGTCGCTGCGTCCGGTTGCGCGCAGAGTACCGGGAGCGCATAAAACAGCAGCGGTTGCGCCAACTCGAGACACGATAGACGTGCCCACCACGAACGCTGCGTGGCAAGCGTCTCCAGTGTACTCTGTGCTGTGACGAAGGCGCGGGCGTTATTCGCCGCGTGCGAGGCGCCTGCCACGGCTGCCAGCAGTGCGGCAGCGGCGCGTGGCAGCTCCTCATGCGGCGGCGTGGGGCCACGCGCGCCCGCAGCACACGCGACGCCCACTAGTGGGTATTGCGCCTCCACTCTTCCGCACACGCCCGTCACCACCAGCCCAGTGCAACCACGAAGCACTGCGCAAATTGATTAACGATATCGTCAGCTCTTCTTGTTAAAACCGTGTAGTGGTATCTAAAGTGGTGGTGGATATATAAAGAAACTGTAACGAAATCATATCCCGTGAGTACCGTAAGCGATTTCTTAGGTCCCAAAAGAGAGGGAGATGGAGAAATATTAACTTATTTTTCTGCCTAGGAGTTCATATAGGTGCCATTATTATACCAATTCAAGAACAGTCAGTAAAATCACGGTATGTGAAGCATTCCATCTTAACTTCGGACATGACAGCGCACCGCATCACGTTATCCAGTGCCGATGGTGCAATTCACGTTCTATGCACGTCCAACTTCTGTTAAGGTACCGATACGATTTAGGTACGTCAAGAAAAAGATTCCTCTGGTGTTATAGATGTTCATGAGCGACGATGACCCCTTACTTATAAAAAGAAAAACGCAACTCCTTGTTAGTTTAGGGTCTTTTATTATGAAAGTAACTTTGTTTTGGACATATTTGGCCCCGGTGCACACATATGTTAGTTTCAATTTTTCAAATATGGGTCGCAAATTATTCCCTTCTCTAAATGTCGTGGATGTTACTTACCGGTTGTGAGGAGGTTAATAGCGTTCGCGTGGTCGCGCGGCGCAAAGGTCTGTACGGAGGGAGGCGCGGTGGGGGGAGGGGGAAGTGTGTCTCCAGCGAGTCGGAGCGCGGTGTGTAGCTGTGCTTCAAGTCGCTTGTCGAGACGCTCTCCCAGCAATGGGCCTTCACCATCGTCCTCCACTTCCTCGTTCACTTCGCCGTCTGAACCCTCACCGCTTGCCTCAGACGGCTGCAATATAAACGCGCGATTTTTTTTCACGTCACTAAGTTTTTAACTAATCTTACATACATAAATTACCCATCTTACAATTGAGTTGCCCATAAATGTTTCACGGCAACTATATATATATATATATATATATATATATATATATATATATATATATATATATATATATATATATAAACGGCGACAGCTCGCAACAATGTAAACTTGCGATAGACAGTTGATACGCCTACTTCTAGCAAGCGTGCCTCGGCTATGACTGCGATTCATACCTATACCAAACGGTTTATTGGTTTTATCTCCTCATAAAGTACATAATCAGGTTGGGGAAAAGTTTATTCGCATTTTCTTTGTATAATCTGTTGAAGAAAAATCTCTTTGGTTGTACTGTTTATCTGGCTGGTTATAATATCAATACATATAGGACATTAAAAAAATTTCAGTCCGCCAAAATAAGTGAATACATACATAAACACTCACGCCTGTCACCCAGAGGGGTAGGCAGAGACTACGGACTTCCATTTGGCACGATCCTGACATACCTCTTTCGCCTCCTTTACATCCATATATCTACGCATACATGCTCGTCGGTTAAGGGTACTTCTAACGTGGCCCATTTTCAAAATATCGCCAATTTGGTCGATAAACTTTTTCCTAGGGAGTCCCTTCCCGACTAGGCCATTCACATCTGCCATATAAATTTGCTTAGTCACTCTTTCCTCATTCATTCTTTCTACGTGACCAAACCACCGAAGCATTCCTTTCTTAATCCTGGTCACAACATCATCTTGCATACCACATTTATCTCTTATCACGCAATTTCTCACCCTGTCATTCAGATTACACCCTAGCATATTCCTTAAAGACCGCATTTCTACAGCATTTATTCTACTTTCGTGCTTCTTCTGCCACACCCAGCTTTCACTACCATACATTAAAGTAGGGACTAACACAGCATTATGAATTACCATACGTGCCTGTTTTGACAAATTCTGGTTCTTCATAATAGAGTGTAGTGCCCCATTCACTCTATTCCCTGCATTTACTCGTCGTTCTATATCCCTATCATATCTACCATCCCTGTTAAATACACATCCCAAATACACAAACTCATCCACTTGCTCAATCAACTCTCCTTCTATTCTTATTTCACATACCGTTTTGCTTTCTTCTCTTTCAAAAACCATCACTTTCGTCTTACTTGCGTTCACTTTCATTCCCCTTTCTTTTAATTCCCAGTTCATTAATGTAACCATCATTTGCAACTCTGCCGCCGATGACGCAAGTATGACTTGATCATCGGCATACAAAAGGCATTTGACGGTTAACTCGCCCATTCTTAACCCACATTCTTCATCTTTCAAAGTTTGCAAACACCGGTCCATAAATAGGTTGAACAGCCAAGGGGAAGCCACACAGCCCTGTCTGACACCTTTTTGGATGCCAAACCAGTCCGAGTAGACCCCATTGATCCTGACACAAGCACTAGAGTCCCTATAAAGAGACCTTAATGCCTGTATCAAACCAGCGCTCAACCCATATGAGTTCAGTGTTTGCCATAACACATTCCTGTCCACTCTGTCATAAGCCTTTTCCAAGTCCATGAACGCACAAAAAACTTTCTTGGTTTTGGCCAAAAACTTCTCCGCAATCATGCGCATGGAAAAGACTTGATCTGTACACCCCATTCCCTTTCTAAAACCCGCTTGCACATCCCAAATTTTTCCATCAGTTTCTTTCATAACTCTTTCAATTAACACCTTAGCATACAGTTTACCCACAATACTAAGCAAGCTGATACCGCGGTAGTTTTTGCAGTCCTGCTGTGACCCTTTTCCTTTATATATTGGTACTATAACTGCTTTACACCAGTCATCCGGTACCCGTTTTAATTCCCAACATAAATTAAACAAGGTGTACAGCAGGCCGGCCACCACTCCCTCTCCAGCCCTTAGCATCTCGAGTGATACTCTATCATATCCAGCTGCCTTACCTGCTTTCATGCTTTTCATTGCTTTCATTATTTCATCTTTCGGAATTTCTAGTTCATTTAATTCATACGACTCTTCACTCATAAACACGCTTTCAAAGTATTCCTTCCATCTGTTTAAATTCGAAACTTCATCATTCAGAATACATCCATTCTCGTCTCTTATAGCATTTATTGTAGGCTGTTTTGTATTTCCCCTGGCAGTTCTTACGAGTTTCCAGAACATTTTTATGTTAGCCTGGAAATTATCAGATATCCTTCTATCATTCTTATCCGTTCTTTCTTTCTTTTTCCTTTCAACAACTTCTTTTACTCTTTTATTTAGACGTCTAAATTCTGCCTTTTTTCTTTCAATCTCATCATTCATACCAGAAGAATTATCAGCTTTGGTTGCTAGTAAATCTAACCATGCTTTCTTCTTTGATTCAACTTCCACCCGTACCTCATCATCCCACCATAACGTATTACTTTTCCTTTCATTTGTTCTCTTACTTACACCGCATACTTCGGTGGCGGTATCCACCAAACCTTTCTTAATATTATCCCACACAGTATTCAAGTCTAAATCATTCATACACAACTCATTCAAACATCTAATATTTTCTCTCAGTCTACATTTATACTTCTCTATCACATCTTCATCTTGTAACTTCTCTATTCTTATACGCTGTAACGCAGTGGTAGATACAGATGTCCGATGCCGCCAACGCTTGAAAAGACCATTAATTCGACATAAGACCAAGTAATGATCCGTCCCTACGTTGGACCCCCCGGTAAACCCTTGTATCTACGACTGCGCTCCTCATTCTTTCATCCACAATTACGAAATCTATCATGCTTCTATCATCACCTCTTTCCCATGTATACATGTGAATCTTCTTATGACGAAAAAAAGTATTCGTCACAAAAAGATTCTTTTCCGCACATACGGTGAGGAGGTCTTCACCATTCTCATTTATACTTTCATCACCAAACGTTCCCAATATCCTTTCATAACCAGACCTCTTCACCCCAACCCTTCCATTAAAGTCTCCTAACATAATAATATTTTCATTTTCCTTACATTTTGTCAACACCATCCTTACCATGTCCCAAAACTGCTCTCGGATGTAAGTGGGCTTAGACATGTCTGGGGCGTACACCCCTAGCAGGAACAGCTTCTTTAAGCCCACTTTCATTCGTATCCATAGCAGTCTCGGGCTTACACATTCATACTCTTTCACACATTGACCCATTCTTTCTGAAAGGATGAAACCGACTCCCTGGCATGCCCGTTCGGTCTCGCCTACACCAGACCAATACGCGGTATACGTGCCATGTGCAGTGGCATCCTTTCCCTTTCGTTTCGTCTCATTCACACATAACACATCTATTCCTCTTATATATAATATATTAAAATAAGTGAATCTAACGAACATTCAACGAATTATTTTTTTTCGCTAAGTAGCGAAAAAAATAATTCGTTTATGGACCTAATGCAATGTCAGTAAGAGTAGCAAAAGGTTGGTTCAAGCGTTTTCAGTCCGTGAATTTTGATGTCAAAAATGCAGCTGGCTCTGGTCAACCTCATATGGATAAAATCGATGCCATTTTTGAAAAAGCGGAGGAGGATCGGCATACTAGTAGTTACGACATAGCCTAGGAATTGAGGATTGACCACAAAACAGTTTTAATCCATTTGAAAAAGTTTGGCTATACAAAAAAGCTCGATATTTCTGTACCACACGAGCTCACTGAAAGAAACCTAATGAATTGTGTACTCATTTGCGATTCTCTATTGAAACCTAATGAAACCGAACCATTTTTGAAAATCGCTGGTGATGAAAAATGGATCATCTACAACAAGAACGTGTGAAAAAAATCATGGTCAAAGGGGAGTCAAGCTCCACACTGTAGCGAAACCCGGATCAACACGCAATAAGGTGATGCTGTGTGTATAGCAGGGTTGGAAGGGCATCGTTTATTATGAGCCTTAACCGCCGGGCAAAACCATCGATTCGGATCTCTGCTGCCAACAACTAAAGAGCCTCATGCAAAAATGAATAGAAATATACAGTATTCAATAACTAAACAACGTCTAATACTAAATTAGGTCGCGTGCGATGAATAGCGTGCTGATAGATCAAATTTGCGTCACACATCCACTCTCAACAGCTCTGCTGCTGGAACTAGTTGCCCGCTTACCGCTAGATATTAATAGCGCCAAAGCGCCATAGCGCCATGGCGGCTACTTACATAGCACGCGCTATGCGCTATGGAGACAGCGCGCTATAATATGGCGCTGTGCACTATATTAACTACCATTAGTTGAGACCTACAAATCGTCCGTGCAAAGTCGTGGTGGTTCACTAGTCAGAAATTAAGACGGTCCAAAGGCTTAGCACGCACCGCGATTAAACGTACGCGTTTAACCGCACGTCTAAAACCGCAAAATAAAATGTAATCTATGGCTTTCTATACAAGCACACGCATTAGCGACTTTTTTCAGTTCTACATTTCGATCTCGGTTTGTAAACGCATGATTTTTATGTGTCCCATAGTAATAGTATGGCGGCGCACGCACTGCGGTTAACCGCATTCGGTTTCGACTAGACGAGCAAAGAGGGCGGTTATTTTTTGCGGTACTAAATAGTAGCAAAAGTATTATTTCAGATGTGTTTTATCTGTTAGTGGATGTAGCCGGTACGTACGGCAACGCCGTTGTTTACGTTTTTTATTTTTTAATTTAAAAGCCAAAGCTACAACACACGCTACTTGCTCGAAATCCATGGTGGTACTGAAATAAAATTAAGCGAAACTCCAGCCGCAGTGCGTGATGTTATGCGGTTTAGCGTTTTAAGCTATTCCTAAACCGCTCGCGTTTAATCGCAGTGCGTGCTAAGCCTAATGGCGGCCAAAAACGCTAGGGTCTGCATGATGGTTATAACTTTGCATGCAAAACCGACAAGCATAACCGAGTTTCATACTACACATACACGTTAGGTTTTGCATGCACCGCCTTGCCATGAACTCTCAGTTGAGCTACGTGACGGTGTGTGTCGCCTACCTCTCAGTTGAGCTACGTAGTAAGTGACGGTGTGTGTAGGACGCCAATACCAAACTACAATAGACGACGACGATGTGATTGCAGTCCTTGGCCTAACACTTGTTCTGCAGAGCAGAAAAAGAAAAAGAGATCGCATTGAATGGTCTAAGCGATGGTTATTGAAAAGAAAGCAATTCTCCCACTTAAATTTGATATATGAATTGAGTTTTACACCAACAGATTACAAAAATTATGGCAGGCAAGCTCGCCGGACGCCACACACGCTCGGTTATGCTCGCGCGCAAACATAACCGACCGGCATAAAATATCAATTTTGATATTTGCTCTTTTTTGCATGTACATGCACCGATAACTGTACAGTTTAATCATATACACGCTAGGGGGCTTGCCTGTCGGTTATGCATGCACGGCTAAAACCATCATGCGAAACCTAGCGTGTATGGCCTCCTTAAGGTATAATACCTGCGTGTCAGCGTGCTCGGAGGCGCGGTGCGCGTGTGCGAGGGGCGCTGGGGGCGCGGGGAGCGGCGCGAGCTGCGGCAGCGCGCCCGCCTGCGCGCCGCACGCCGCCGCCGCCAACGTCGCGCTGCTCCTCAGTGCCACTATACAACGTTACCAAATCAACCTTTTCATCATAAACCTTAGCCTTCACGTATACCTAATCCGTCAATGTTCGAAATTTGCTCGGGTGACGACGGCCGAAATCCGACGATCGATTCAAGCACTAGAGTATGTTCCAAAATAGAATCCAGTGTACTGTCCAATGCAAATGACGTCATGAATCGACGCTATACTGGTGATTCGTTTCAAAACATAGGATAGTATATGACGTCATACATTTGCGCCATATTAGGAAAGTGTTGGCGATTATTTTGTCATTTTGTGTTCCAAAAATCATTATATCCTCCTAATGGAGATACCAGCAATTATTCTATAATTTTTTGTATTTGAATAAATAAAAACAAATTCTAGCATGCTTCATTCAGCGCACACACAATTAAAAATTGTTTTATTATGGCCGGATATCCGACACAATATGGCGTAGGCACGCCAGTACAATATAGTGTCAATTAATGACGTCATTTGTATTCGGCAGTATACTGAAAACGTTTCGGAACATACCCCTTGTAAAAGAGAGTGCGAACACAAACACGATGTCATTGTCCGATGACGCACGAAAACGGCCCACCAACCGTCAAGTCCGAACTTGTTGGGATTTCTCGCCAGACTGCCGGCGTCTATAGTACAAATTGAGTGTATTTATAGTTTAATTTAAACACTCTGTCTTTATTCTGCTGTTTCTGTCAATGTTGTTATCTATCTAAACGACTGTGGATATTGAGAAATTTATTAGTTGTGTTTATATTAAAACAACCCTATGGGGGCAAACTTCAGCACAAGTGGTACACTATTGCAGTGTATGCACATACACGTCCGAGTCACTCGTCCGGGTAGATCTGTCCACCATCAGCCAACAAAATAGGTTTTAATGGACACGTACACGTACACTTACAGCGTTTTAAGTTTTCGAGTAACGAATGTACTTGTGCAGCGCCACGATGGGGGTACTGCGGAGAAAGGAGCAGCGCGACATTTTGCTAGCGCAGTTCAGTAAGTCTGCTCTTCAATACATGCGTTTGGCGTAAACATATTTTATAACAATTATTTAACTACTTTAAAGTGCTGTTTTCGAAAAGGTGAATTACTTTTATAATTATATAAGTTACTAAGTAAACTTGTGTTCAAATGACGGCTCTGCTTATGTTTCCTAATTTATTTCAATAAAGCTGTATATCCGAAAGACTACACTGCATAATTAAATTTATTTACATCTATAAAAGAAAGAGTCACGAAAATAATAAAAATTTATCTTGTTCAATAAACGTTTTTAACTTAGTATGTACATAATGTTAATAATTAATTGTAAATATTATAATATCCAAAATTATTTTATTTCGATTTACGTGACAAAACAACACCTGTTCCGCGTGAGGTTCTATCCTGCGCACGCTGTAACAAATGTTTAGTCACTAGTAACTGTAATTAAAAAAAAAAAAACTGTACCAATGTCGCCGTTTTCGTCGTACAAGGCAGCGAGTCGCGGGCGTATAGATGCAAGGAAGTCTACAAGCCGCGGCGCTGGTCCACTGTCGCCGCCCGGGAACACCAGCTCCGTGTCGAAGATGGTCATAAGGATTCTGTGACAATCAAACAAAGACTTGTTAGAAGTTATCATGTGGAGAATATCCCATAGTTGCCTCTTAAGACAGCAATGGGACCAAATGGGGTGATGAATTGTCATATTGTTTTTATTTACTTTTTTATTGGAGCAAGAAAACGATTCTTTGAAATCTATCTCCTCCGTAACCCGTAGGCCAATGTACATAATTTTTTCGGCAATATTTGTAGCTCAACGCAGAGAATATTTGTAAACAATAAAAAATCTGAATTTGATTTTTTTTTCTTTAACTATCTAATCAATTCGCTAATTTACATCTGCGCAATGTCACACCATTTGATTGAAACTTTTGTTGTAATAAAGATAGTTATGACTTTAAGACTTTTACTCCGTTCAGCTTATGATGGTAGAAAAGGTTTTACCTTTGCATCTGCATCTGCAGTATAAGAGGGTGCAAACCAGCATTTGGCTCACCTTATGCTACCGCCGCTCATGAATAAGTGCAATCCCAGGTGAATTGCAGATACGTTGCCGGCCTCTTAATCCTTTCCCTGACCCATGAATCATAAATGAACGTCTCGATTTAACTATTATTTCCATTTCGCGGACAGGGAACCTCTTAAAAAAGAATAGGCTCTTTTCTTGCAGGTACCAAAGTCGTATCGATCCGAAAAATCGCTGGTGGTAGTCGAATTATAAGACATCGACACTGACGTGGGTTTTTTAAGAGCATCATGCATCAGAAAAATCTTGTGGCTTCCGATAGATGGCGGTATAACAATTTAGTTTACGACAGACAAAAATACCCTAGACTGTATCAGCCTTAATCATAAAAATCGACGTCAATTTAAGTAATGTTTAAAGTAACTATCTTTTCTTACTAAATGATAATAGAAAGAGACAGGTACAGAGATAATTAAAACTTAATTTATGTACGTAAGCGAAATAGAACGATTATGAGTAGGGCAGATAAATATTAAATATTTTAGCCTTTCAAATATAACTTTAACAGTGACAATGTTTGTTTACATTTTTAATCTGGAATTATATTTTATAATTGTATTTTTTGCATATAAGTAATTTCTAGATTACTAATGTCATAGTTTTAAGACCTTAAAGTTGTGAAACGCCTTTGATGTCCGGCGATGCCGCCGCCAGCGTAGGTATTTACGCGGCAGCATGTATGCTAGAGGTTGTCACGAAAAGGGAAATTATTTTGGATATTATAATACTCATAAAAAACATTATGTTCATACTAGAGATAAAAGCATTTATTGAACAAGATATTTTACTACTACAAGAAAAAACACATCTACAAGTGTTGCACTGCTAAATATTTTGTACAATTTAAAGATGTTTTCAGTTTTTGATTGTTAACCCTTCAAGCGTCATAAAAATCCCATGCAGTCGCATGCGCCTGGAAAATCCCGAACACCCACAGCACTTTAAACCATTAAAACTTTAAACTAAAAAATTTAGGGACTACTTTTCTATGAAGAAGTTTAGCATTATTAAATCTATACAAAATTTTCTATCTTGTGGTCTAAACAAAAGTCAGGTTTTTTACTTCATTACAAAAAGATTTTATTGTATTTTGATAACAAAAAAAACATACCAAGCAAATGTCGGTAGCGTGAAAATCACAATTATTTAATTATTTACGTAAAAAGATAAATTATATTCATACAAAAACTAACTACTAACTATACTAAAACACTAATAAAATACTCGAAAAACCCAAAATCAACACAATAACATTCCCGAGAAAATGGCGTACGAAATGAACGTAGATTATAAATAAATATTCATAGGATAACAGTTTTTATTGCCCTAGAGGGTAGAGTATTTTATATTGATAATACATGCCAAACTTCTTTATAGAAAAGTAGTGTCCATATATAAGTTTTTATGGGTTGAAGTGCTGTGGGTGGGTGCGACCTCATGAGACCGCTAGGGATTTGACGGAATATGGCAGCGGTCTCATGAGACCGCGAGGGGGGTGGAGAGGTTAAATGTAACTATGTAATGTATTCGCATTCGGATAAACAATTTTATCAACAAAATGAGGGAAACAGCCATGGCCGTCATTAGAATTCGATTTTACTTAGTAAGTAATATAACTATAACAGTAGTTCACCATTTTAGATATTGTATTTTTCGAGAACGGCACTTAAAATTAGTTAAATAAGTATTATAAAACACGCTCGCGAGGTTTCTGATCTCGACGCCGGCGCATTATATTGTCTATCAGACTCGGTGAAGTGCGATAGCACAAGGTCAGCCCGGCCCCTGCCCCGCATTATCCCCACCGTTGCTCTGCACAAATATATTCGTTTCCTAACTATAAGGTCTTTAAGCTGTGCTATTGCACCAAATGGAATTGCTGGTGATTAAGTCAGGGATGTAAAAGCGCACTGGTTTGATAAGAGAAAAAAACTATACACTTTTTCATTAGACACTGAAGTGTAAATCTTCAATATTCATATTCTTAATGTACTCATTTCAAACGACGAAGGAAATCGTACTATGCGCGGTATGTCGACAACAAAGGGACCCCCTGACTTTTTGGTTTTTTGATAGTCCATAACAAATCTTATATTCGAGTCACTGGCTACTTCTTAAAGTTACAAGAAATACAGTATCCAACTTGTTAAAGCCGCGGGTTTAACTTATTATGGTATGAATGTCCTTACCTTCCAACGGTTTCTCGAACATTCTGGTAGGGATGCTGAATAAAGTTTGTGGATTCAAGTCTCTTTAAGAGTTCTGCAGCTAATGGCGCTGTACGCCATGTGAGTGTTCCTAATGCACCCTGTTATTTGATACAAAAAGTGAAAAAATCTGGATTATTATGGCAGTTAATATAACTAACTTCAAAAATAGTGGTTCTCAATTGGGGTGTATGTTCTTTTTTGCATATGTTACATGTTTTTTATTAAATATGTAGGAACGACCTTAAGAGGTTAGTCCTATACAGTGGATATAATTTGGAGAAAAGATTCCACCTTTCATTTATTCAAGTCCAGTCCAAAGTTGGCCCCGCTTGGGCTAGCAACCGTAGTTACTAATTTTTAGATGTTATTAGGAACTATTTAACATTTTCTAGTTTGTTTTCCTCTTGTCGCCACTTAGAACAATAACGGGCATTGGATGATATGGGTTAGTGTGTATTCTTACACCGTCATTTCTCGGTAATGGACTTTCAATGCTGAAAAATAAAGGCTTAAACTTCTTATGGAGTATTTAGACAATAATAGCTACTAGTGTATTCCTTAATCTACTCAAAAAATAAAACTTTTTAAAGAAAAAGGTGACTGAACGAACTTTAAAGAATAACATCGTTTCAAATAATAGCTTCTGAGTAATTAGAACCGATAGTTGTTGGGGTGAGTACGTTGGACACGTTGTCAGACTAGATAAGATCATTATACGGATCCAACTCGGTTGTGCAGTGTTCGGGAGATTATGACACATCTTCTCAGGTATACATCAGTGCATCATCAGTGCGTGTTGCTAATAATGGCTTATGGATCTGAGATGTGGTTCTTCAGGATATATCACAGAAGACCAGCGTAAAATAGTAGCTTAATGCTGCTGTGTTTCGTATGGTGAGTGTAGAGAACCGGAGACCCTTTTTACTGGAAACGAGGCATTTCATTTTAGTCCTCATGGGTGGCAACGCATCTGCATTTTGATTTGTAATCGAGGATAGATATAGATGTCTATGGGCCACAGTAACCACTTACCATCAGGTGGACTGTATGCTTATTTGCCACCTTATCATATAAAAAAGAAGCACAAGGTCGCTCATCAAGCTATAGAGAGGACTATACTCGGAGTTTCTCAACGTGATAGTCTTCGTAATGAGTATCGATGGAGTAGAACCAGAGTAACCGACATAGCGCAACGGATTAGTAAGTTTAAGTGAAGGAGTAAGAATCTCGAAGAACCAACAATCGATGAGAAAGAAAGGTCTGAAAGTCGATGGATGCACCCTATTCGGTATTTCTCATCCACTGGTAAGTACGCCAGTAGTTTAATTATGCTATGAGGTATTCCACGTTACTCTTGGTTAGACGTGTTTATGAGATGTAATCTTAAAATCAATATCAAGTATCATCAGTAATCGTAAAATCAGTTAGTTTGTGTGTCACACTTATATTGAAAATATTTATGTAAACTTACCTGCAACGCGATGAGACGCGCGCACACTACAAACGAGGCCTCCTGATCATTGTGATCAGTAGCGTCTGCCTTTTGCGGTGCGCAGAAGTCGAGTAAAGCGGCCAGAATATCGCCACTGCGGCGCGGGTCCAACTTTTCCACTCCCGTCGCCAAGCAAGTGCCCCAGTCCTCTATCGTCTCCGCTGTCACCGCAGTTAGACCTGATATACAAATACTGTGTTAAACATCTTTGTGGCTATGGTATAGTGACATGCCAGGGTCACACCTCTCGGATTGTTGTTCTTGACTTCTTTATAAACCTGCGGAAGTCCACTGCTTAACCTATGTCCGTAGTAAATTGCGGTAGAGGTTGATGTCACTCCTGTTGGAAGTAATTTCCTTAATCGCGATGCTTGGTGGTTAGTATCTCTTTTCTTACCAGTGATCCTGCAACTGACACTGCTCCCCGTCACCGGACTAAATAGTTTACGTCAGGTTTGTTTTTATAAAATTAGGGTGACGAACGAGAATACACTCTACCTGAAGGTAAGTGGATGCTGTGGCCCATAGACATCTAGATTTAACCTCGATTATGAATCAAAATGCAGATGCATTGTCACCCATGAGGACAAAGATGGAATCCCTCGATACCGGTAAAACGGGTCTCCGGTTCTCTACACTCACCATACGAAACACAGCAGCATAAAGCTACTATTTGACGCTGGTATTCTGTGAGAGCGTGGTCCTTCCCCGGTCGAGCCGACCCTTTCATGTTACATCCATAATATAGCTGCAGAGTGGCTCTACCACGTATAAAAAAATCGTGATTCTCGTGCACGAGATGGTTATACGGATTTTTCAGCGTTTTTAAATGGATTTGGTTAAAAGTTGTTTAGAATCGTTGTCATTTGTAGCTCGATGAAACGGAAAAAACAAACACACAAACAAACAAACACATTTATAGCACTTAGCCTGCGAGAGAATGAGATAAAATACAATATACAGTGTTTCCTATTATCATTAATCAGCACAGTGCACCACGTGCAGGGGAGATTGGCACTTACACCTATACACCTTCGTCATTTTATTACAAGGAAGACCAGAAAAAAATGCGATCTCATAATTTAAATTACATGTTATAAGTGGTAGAGCCTGCTGCAATTATATTAGTAGTATAGTTGTACGGTGCTCTGAGGGCAGATTGTATGGAGATGTGTAGCTTCGGTGGATTGCGTTTGTCACTTATCCTTAAAAAAATGTTAGTATTGACATAATATGTGTAGAAACTATTGATTGTTCGGAAGTAGTTGCTGTGGTAAATTGGCGGAAAAAGCGCTATGTTGTCACTCACCGGCCTTGATGACGTCAAGCGCAGCGTGCTGAAGGGCGAGAGCTCGCTCTCTCGGCCAGTATCGTGGCGCATGTAATGCCGCGGCCGCTATTTCAGCCGCCAACCGCTGGGAAGCTTCCTGCGACTCGCTGGCACAGCGTAACGCGTGCTTTAGGAATTTGTTTGCGATCCTCTCACCGAATTGTGCAAACAGCAACTGCAATGTGCATAAAAACAATTTAAAGTCGCACAAATGCGTATGCCTAGCAGGCAACTAACGTGACGTCACTTACATTCGAATGAATCGAATTCGAAATGCTGGTAATGGTATTAAGATGATATAGGTTACTGAGACCTACAATAAAATTAATGACTAATCGGAATCCTCAGTGACGTACGAAATTACATTTGTCCCGCATTAGTGATCGCCTAGTAACATAATTAACGTACTTTGAGAAAGTAGTTTGTTCAGAATCGTTTACTGAATCGATTCCTATCATTTTTTAATATAGGTAATTTTTTATTCCAAAAATAATTAAAACTACGTAAATTACAGTCACACTAAATCTGTACAGTCAAAACAAACTGAAATGGACCGTAACCTAAGGCAATAAGACTTTTAAGAGTGCAGTTTTATTTGTATTATTACTAATTCTGTCATTCAATAAAAATAAAGAAAAATGAACTTTATTTCAAGCACGTTAAACTCTTCGAGTTCGTGGATTTGTACTGTGACCACAACATTCTTCCGGAATTAGTATAACTAATTTGATAAATAATCAGTACATAAAAATGTTTAACTAAAAATTTAGTGTATGTATTATGATTATAACATAATATACTAATTGGGGTGTCTGAGGGTGTGAGTTTAATTGCGTTACATATTATATATATATATATATATATATATATATATATATATATATATATATATATATATACATATATATATAGATCGTGACATTACGACATCTACACAAGATGGAAAGAAATAGATAACAGATTGTCAACTCCACAGTCGTTTTTAAGGTAAATGAATTTTAGTATCGCTGCTAGTTGGCCTACTATAGTTTATTGGATATTATTTAGTTATTAGATTAATGAATCAAGTAGTACACAATATAATATAATATTATGTATTTTTCTAAATAAATTTGTACCATTCTTTTTAAAACCACAGTATGGGTACTTACGAGTCTAGAAAATCTTGAACAGTTCAAGAAAACATGTTCACTTAGTCTCTTAGTCTTGAACAGTCCAAGAAAACATATCCACTTAGTTATTTACTTACCCTAAACATAGTAAAACGGACCCCATTAAACTTGTCTTTGCCCTTCTTTTCTTCTACCGATAAAAAGGCGACAAGCTTGTCTACATTTGCGTCGTCACTGAAGAACTCAAACAAATGCCGTTCACCTTCCTCCATATCTTCAGGCTTGATCTCATTGCAGCGAAATTGCTCACTCGACGGTGCTGCCACCTGCAATTAATTTATACTAAAACAAACTAGTTTTTTCTCTTTAATGGTTTTAACTGCTATTATTGCTATATATTTTTAATTGAATTATCAAATTTAAATTATGATTTTAAAACGAATTTTCCTAACCGTAAGCTTTTCTGGCCAAGCATAAAATCCGCAATTGGGATTTCTCAGCCACGGTTGCTCCCATTCTTCATCAGTTTTTGGTATTTTTTCTCTTGACCACATTGCCCATTCAAGATCTTTTCTATACCCTAAAAGAAATACAACAATAAAATTATTCAATAAACCATCAAAAATATTAAAAGCAACAGACACAGTGTGATGCATTGTTTTTAATATTTTACCTGTGTGTGTGTGTGTGTGTGTGTGTGTGTGTGTGTGTGTGTGTGTGTGTGTGTGTGTGTGTGTGTGTGTGTGTGTGTGGTGTGTGTGCGGGTGTGTGTGTGTGCGGGTGTGAGCGCGCGCGTGTGTGCGGGTGTGACGCGCGTGTGTGCGTACGGTGAGCGGAGTGCGTGCGTACGTGTGTGCGCGAGTGCGTGCGTACGTGTGTGCGTGCGTACGTGCGCGCGCGCGCACGCGTTTGTGTGTGTGTGTAAGTGTGTAATATTTATAAAAGTTTTTGTTCTACAATGTTGAACTGGAAATTACTGTCCAAAAGACTCAAATTTTTGATATTTACTGATTATCAAAGAAAGATATAACACTACGCACATTCCAAGTAATACCCAAACGGAGCCGATACTCTACATGGTAAAAGCTTATATATGAAAAAAAAGCAGGACAGAAGGACAGACGCTTTCAAATTAGTTCTCTTCCTTGCCACAGCAATTACAAAAATAAAGCAAACCGTTTTATTTAGATGTGTAATATATGGAGAACAACAGGATGAAGACCAGTCGGCCGCCTGTATGTCCTAGGAAAGGTGAGGAAGGATTCATGTAATTCCTGCACACACTCTCCGAAATTCATCCTACAGAACTAATTCAAAATGACCAACAGAACTAATTCAAGTATCTAAGCATGCTTCTCTACCGAGTTTATAGCTGCTAGGTAGCATTTTGCAGCACTAGCCATGTGATAGCAATACTCCAGATACAAACAAACTTTCTTTGTTGGGAAGTGTTATACAGGGTGTTAGTGTAAACACCGTTATCCATGAAACCAGTGGTTTGGTTTCACTTATAATAAAACCAAACCACTGGTTAGTGTATACATAGACTTATACTACTAAACTTAAATTTAAACTTATCCTTTTGAATCCATTGCAGAATGAAGTGTTTTGAATCCATTGCAAACTACTTATATTTTGATAGATTTGTCCTTACTTCGCACATTAAATAGAGGTAGCTGTCAGAGCTGATATTCGCACTAGTAAAGCTGCCTATAACTAGTTTCTGAGAGTTAGGTTTGGCAGTTTTTAATTTATAACGAATTAGTAAGCTGAAGTGGCAATGGGCCGGCCACAGAGCTCGAAGAACTGATAACCGATGGGGAAAGAAGTTTCTCGAGTGGCAGCCTCGTACCGGCAGGCGAAGTGTAGGGCGTCCCCCCACAAGATAGAGTGACGACTTGGTAAGACATGCAGGAAGTCGATGAATGCAGGTGACCATGCTTTGTGGAATTACTTGTTTGGGGGAGGCCTTTATTCAGTAGTGGACTTGTGAAGGGCTGTAATGATGAATAATGAATGTACATACTGCCGTTTGTTGATCAATACACTGAGTACAAGTGGGGTTGAAATTTGAAGAGGGTCTAGCAAAGCATAACGATAGGCCTCCGTTGCTTTCCTAAGCTAGATTCAGAGAACCCTCCTTAACTCTGATAAGACGGTTGTTGGGTATCCAGGCTTCTATCGGCTAGATAGAAGCCTGGTATAACCGAAAGTATCTAAGGGTGTCCTACATAAAAAAGAATTGATCTGAAAGTTGTACAGAAATAAGTACAGATAGTTCCAACGCTTGTAACATTTTATGTTTAGTGAACTCGTGTGTACGTTACCGGGCACGTGTCGCTCGGGTCTTGGCACGCCGGCCACCTGGTACGGATCGACTGTAATCTTGGCGTGCTTTCGCTTGCGCTGCTTCAGTACGAACGCGGTAAGACGAAGGGCTAACCGACGGACCGCTACATCGTCGTGTAGCAGCGAGCGTACAACGAACCGCACAGCACACGCCGGATACGCTGTCTGCACCGACGAGGCAAACGTTAGCATCTGTGTTGCCAGCTCGAGACGACGCCACACCCTGCGGAACAGTTGCCTTTTTCTTAGTGCGATGTGCGATTATATTCATAAATTCATATTATTTTAAGTAATATTGCGGTCTTTAAGGAGTATGCTAGGGTTGAATTTGAATGACAGGGTAAGAAATTGCGTGATAAGAGATAAATGTGGGATGCAAGATGATGTTGAGACCAGGATTAAGAAAGGAATACTTCGGTGGTTTGGTCGTGTAGAAAGAATGAATGAGGAAAGAGTGACAAAGCAAATTTACACGGCAGATGTGAACAGCAGAGTCGGGAAGGGACGCCCTAGAAGAAAGTTTATCAACCAAATTGGTGATATTTTGAAAACGGGCCACATCCTGGTGTTGTGCGTATCAGATCGTGCCAAATGGGAGTCCGTAGTCTCTGCCTACCCCTGTGGGTGACAGGCGTGAGTGTTTATGTTATGCTAATAATAAATATTTTTGGTAGTTTTAATAATGTAGTTTAATCAATGTACCATATCAATTGTAATTAAATGAAAATAGTGAGTAAAAGTTAAAAGAATATATAGTATTTATCATTATCATCATTATTGAGCTGTAATGATCCCTCCCCCAAGGAATGCCACAAAGCACGGTCCTGAGTCACCTGCATCTATCAACTTCATGCATGTCTTACCAGGTCGGCACACCATCTAGTGGGGGGACGCCCTACGCTTCGCTTGCCGATACGAGGCTGCCACTCGAGAACCTTTTTTCCACATCGGTTGTCTGTTCTTCGAGCTATAATGCCGATCCACTGTCACTTCAGCTTACTAATCTGTTGTGCTATATCGGTCACTCTGGTTCTACTGCGGAAATCCTCATTTTATCAGGCAAGTTTATCAGGCGGAGAAACCCCAAGCATAACCCTTTCCATAGCTAGCTGAGCGATCTTGAGTTTCCTCATACGGCCAGCAGTGAAGGACCACGTCACAGATCCGTAAGTCATCACTGGCAACATGCACTGGTTGTACAATCTCTTTTTCAGGTTTTGAGGTATACCTGACGAGATGATATGTCGTAATTTCCCGAACGCTGTCCAGCCGAGTTGAGTCCGTCCATTGACCTCTCGATCGAAGTTGGATTTACTCGTATCTAGTCGGACTATTTGTCCCAGGTAAACATACCCGTCAACAACTTCGAGCTTAGTGCTCTCAACAACTACCGGCATAGGTGTGACATGGATATTAAACATGATCTTTGTTTTGTCCATGTTCATCTTAAGGCCTATCCGATGGGAGACACTATTGAGGTCATTGAGCATAGTGCTTAGGTCCTCCAGCGATTCTGCTATAAGGATTATATCGTCGGCAAATCGAAGATGAGTGATGTACTCGCCATTGATGGTAATACCGTATCCTTTCCAGTCCAGTAGCTTGAAAACGTCTTCCAATGCAGCGGTGAAGAGTTTCGGGGATATAACGTCACCCTGTCTTACACCTCTCTGCAGTTGGATAGGTTTCAAACTCTGGTTCTGTACTCGGATAGCCATCGTAGCCCTACTGTACAAACACTTCAGCACTTCGATAAACCGACTGTCCACTTGGCACCGCTGAGCGGACTGTAGCACCGCCCAAATTTCGATGGAATTAAAGTCTTTCTCATAGTCCCTATACGCCAGGCAAAGTGGCATATTGTACTCTTCGGTCTTCTGTACAATCTGCGTCAGGGAAGCTTTAAGAAATCACTATGTAGTTAGTATTAAATAATCGCAAGTCCATAATAAATAAATAAATAAAAGTTTTTATTTGTCACAAAAAAAACAATGTTAAAATTTAAATAGACAGCTTAATAAAGTTGTGACTCAGTTGTAATGGGAAAACCATTACTCCTGCTATTCTGCCACAGCCTTTGCGCATAATTCATACAGGGCCTTAGGCAATTGATAAAACACACGTATCAACAATAAATAAAAATATAAATTAAAACAATTAATAAAATTATAGTTGCTAAAATACAAAAAAAAGTTGTCTAGCTTGAGGAGGTATCAAAGCCACATAGAGCCAGGGACTGTTTTTGAATAAGCCACTTGCGGCATCTTTGTCGGAAGGTAGACGGAAATAGGGTAGACCGGACTGGTGGTGGCAAATCGTTCTAAATTATAGCAGCGGCAAATTTAAAACACTCCCTGGCTCCAGTGAGTCTAATCCTGGGTAGTGGAAGCAGGTGACAATTTTCTCTGACTGAAAGCAAACTTTATACATACACACCATAATTCTCTAAGTACATTCCCGAAAAGATATTTCATAAAATGAGGCATTACTTGCTTCATTATATTAGAGATATTACAATTTATTAGCTAAAATCCGCATGAGAAATAAAAATTATGTAACACGCATCTTTTTCACCGTCATCATTAAACTCTACACCACTCCACTTTTATAGAGTGAGGGAGGAAGGAAAGTGCTCTTCAAACTAGGTAAGACATCACTTATATTTAATTTATAAAAGCGGAAAGGTTTTTAGTTTGTTTGTTTAAACACGCTTATCTCGGGAACTAAAAGTCTGAATTGAAAAATTATTTTTAGGAGTAGTTTATTTGGTAGAGGCTACACTTCTTAGTTAGCTTTAAATATTGATTTTTGTTAAATCGTAAGTAAAAAGCGCTACCGAACTACTAACCGCGTGCGCTGCCGTAATGTTTAGTGATATAAATACAATGTTCTACAAAAATACTGATCTTTATTCCATCTGAAAAAGTCCGCGATACCATATGCCTATTTCTTATACATAAGCTACAATAAGGTATTTAAGGTATTTACGAACAAAAGTAACTTCATCATCAAGTTAATTTTACGAAGATAAACTTCACTCTTTATGACATGTTATTTGGATGCATAGTCTAAGAAATAATGAAAATTAAAATAAATAATTTCATTTCTATTTTTTTTTTAATTTTTCTCTCAGCCCAGCGTGCGAACGATGCATTCCATTTCGCACGATCCTGACACACTCCTATGGACGCGTAATTTTCAAAAACGAGAGAGGCTCATCATGTCAAGCTATGGCCATTATATAGATTTATGAAGAATATTTTTATATATATATTATTATTCTTTCCCTATATAAAATCATATATGAACATCTCAATTGTTTAACTAAGGGCCCTGTTAAGAGCTAGATGAGAACTGTAAGCAACCTTTTTTTTTAATATAAAAACCACATCACATATCTTATGTAATTTAAAAACTTACACATTAGGTGCTTCTGCTATGTTCACCAAGTCCTCAATGAATTCCTTATACAGCTTTTCCGTATTAATCGACGTCTCCATTTCTCTTTTCTCCGCATTTTGCAACATTTCAGCAAACTGCGGCTCATTGAGCTGACCATCACTGAGGAAATATTTAGCTGCCTCAATGGCGGATTTGGATATTGTCAAGCATGTATTCACGGTTGGAAAATGGCTCTGGAGGGTGTCACCGAATGCTTGCTCTAATCTGAAAAAAAAAACATCAGTTAGTCCTTTTCTTCATCGTACAACTCAAACATATTAAAACACAATTTTGTACCAGTCTTTGTCTTTCATAAGGTATCTTAATTATATGACAATAGGCATTTATATTCAATCATGAATAAATAATATAATATAATGGTATATACAGTGTGTCCGGTCACGGACTAGCGATATTCTAGGTACTTGCAATACAGCTATCTTATACAAAAATACACTCACACTGAGGTCTAATCTCCTCCCCCTCTATGTGGCGGCCATTTTGTTTTTTCCTAGAGATGTTCTCTACGTGTTTACAAAAAATTCATATCTCTCAAAGTTTTGGCCTTACTGAGATAAAAATTGGCTCATTCGGAGGGCAACAATATTATCTATCGTTTACGTTACCAAAAAATTGTTCACATACTCCTATTATATTGAAATTATTATGCTAATCGGCTAATTATTGTAAATTACTGCAAAAACAACCCCGTTTACCGTTTATTTAAAAAAAAAAATGGCGGCCACATAGAGGGAGAGGGGATTAGACCTCAGTGTGTAGTGTATTTTTATATTAAAATAGTTGTATATAAGTACCTAGAATATCGCTTGTACGTGACCAGACACTCTGTATAAATGCATAAACACACTTATGATTTAAGAATATAAACATACGAGCTAAAATATACCAATATAAAAGCAGACATGCGTGATCATAGTATAGATAGCTTACTTCAAAATACTTGGTTTCTCACTGAGCGGCGCTTTGAGCACAGCAAGCCAAAGTGTTCGAACCACATTCCAATCTTGTTTAGCAATGAGTGGGCCGGACCTTGGGCCTATCATTATGAAGAGAGCGCCTTTGTGCTTTGCGTGCCACTCGTCTCCTTCACCTCCTGTTTCCACTAACTCCGCTAGTTTCGGAACCAGCGCACGATATGAATAAGGATAGTGGCTTAACATCCAGTATAGACGTATTTGAGATAATATGCGAACCTGTAATAATATATATAGTCGTTAACTTCTCAACAGTCTATAACAAGCTATACTTGGACCAAATTAAACATTTGATTAGTTTCAGCAAAGACGAAATATAGGACACAGGAAGATGTTGTGTTTATACACACAATACACTACATTATTCTGAAATTGACTTTTCTGTTAATTAAGTTCATATTGGTATCAAGGATTAGTCAATTGTCACATAGCCTTATTTGACCAATAATAAAATTAATTCCATTAAACTATATTATTGCACTAAAATATATTCGATATAAAGTTTTGTAAAGCTTTACAAAATACAATACAAATTAGTTTTAGATTTTAAAAGAAAAGGCATATCATTTATCATTATAAGCCCATGTGGCCGTAGAAGGAAAAGGGGAGATCTCCCGCCGGGCAAGGTGTTCTGCCCGGGGAGCGGCAAACACTCCATGTGATAGTTCGGAGATGTTCTATATATACTGTTTATGATTCGGAATATTGATAGCGCGATTTAGGCTTCGGTGTGTTTCGCTTGTGACGCGACCGCAGCGCCGCCACAACCATAAAAAACCTAACTGCGACAGAGGGCGCGACAGGCGGCGTCCTATTTCCCCTTTTATTACACCGCGGGCAGCGAGTCTTTAACATTAGTTTAACACTTTACCAACTATACTATTTCTAAAAATTTCGTACAAAAATTTGTATAATTTACTTTTATTAAAATACTCACTGAGCTGTACGTGTTGATGGACAGTTCGTAGAGCGCATTAAGCGCACTAAGTGCGGAGGGAGTTATGCCAGCTTCGCAGACGAGGTCGAGTCGCGACTCGTCCTGTAACTTGGCGGCGTCTGCCAGCAACATTCGCAGTTTGGCAGCCCCCCCTGCCTCACCGCCCACACCCCCACGTCCATCCAAAGCCCGATCTAGCGCCCCATACGACCGTAACCGAGCTTCCAGACCTAGGGCGGATCGAGCCCCCTTCATTACTACAACGCGCTCCCACAACTGCAAAAATTTTATCAGTTCAGTCATGTCATCAGTTGACCCTCAGGTCAATTGAAATAGTAATTGTTATACACTATCAAAGTAAAAGGGTTAAGAGTACATAGCTGTTTGTTTAGACTAATATTTCAATTAATAAAGTATTGTTGAGTGACTTCAGTGGAAAAATATTTGGGATAAATCACAGAATATATTATTTATAGAATAAGGGTGACAAAGGACCTGAATCAAAATAAATGAATAAATTAACCTTTTGAGCACCACGCCAAAAACGCATTACCGTGTCCTGTACGCCAAAGCGAAAAGTAAACAAAAATATCTATGAAAAAAATAGTGTTGCCAAGAGTTGATATATCGATGACACAAAATAACTTGATTTTGTTGGTTTTTATGCAATAAATGACTTTTTATAATCTGGTATGTTTTATTTAATCTTGTGCTGTCTTCCACTCTTTTTATATATGAACAAACAATAACAATAAAATAATAGTAAACCACAACACTACTCTTCATCGTGATGACGTCACTGTCACGACTGGACGACAACGGCGTAGTTGACCTTGCTTTTTGAAACTTTCTTAGATGTAGCTGTATCGCACGTTGTGTATCGATTTCGAAATCGATCTAACCAAAATATACAGAGATCGATTCAAAATATTTTATGTGTTCGGGGGAGGCGTAGGCCAAGTGAAGCACAGAAGAAAAGTCTTACGCTCTTATGACAATGGGGGTTTGATATGATGCTGATGCTACCAGAGGATTTTGAGATAATCTTTATTGCAATCAAATGGTAACAATAGATGTGATTTTTTATTTAAACCCAGTTTGGGCGTAGCAATTATAAAAATATTAAATATTATTTTTAAACTAGAATATTAGATTTCATTAATAAATTACATTATTAGATCATATTATTGTTGCATGAATAAGTCAACTAGCGCCATCTAGTGTCAGGAACGAGAGCGAGGGGAGCTTTGCAGTAAATGACATCACAAATCTTTCGACCGACAGCGCCACCCGAAGAACTAAGTTTCTGGAAAATCTACACTCGAATACTCGTTGCCTGGCGCGCATTTACTTGAATGTTCGTGACGCTTCTTTGCTAATTATAAATAGGCGCTGCAAGATGCGATCGGGGCAGAGTTGAACTCGGCGACACAAGCGAAGCTTCGGAGCGGAATTAAGTGAATTAGTGTGTTTAATTATTAGTGTTTTTAGTTTTAATTTGTGTAAAGTAAACTAAAGTGTTAATTTAGGTAATTTTATCGGCAATTTTTATTGTCACGAACCTCAAGCTCGTAACAATTGGTGTCAGAAGTGGGATAAAATCATGCCGATTTTACCTAAGGAGGAAACGGAGGGTGTTCGTACCCGCAGTCAACGCCAGCATGAGACGGACCAGAGAAGATTTGGTGGTGCAACGCCGCAGACGTCGGAGGGCCAGCCGCCGGCAACGGAGGCCGGTTCGTCAGTAGCTCCTGCATCTGCAGCACCTGATTTAGGCGCCCTGATGGTGATGCTGCAGGAACAGGCTCGCCGACAGGAGGAACAGGTCCGTCGGTTGGAAGAGCAACTGCGGGGCGGACAGGCAGAACAGGCTCGCCGACAGGAGGAACAGGTCCGTCAGTTGAAAGAGCAGCTGCAGAGCGGACAGGAGGAACAGGCCCGTCGGTTAGCAGATCAGCAGGCGGAACAGGCTCGCCGACAGGAGGAACAGGGCCGTCGGTTGGAAGAGCAGCTGCGGGGCGGACAGGCAGAACAGGCCCGCCGACAGGAGGAACAGATGCTTCTCATGAAGGACCTTCACGCTACCTTCGGGAAAGAGATAAGGGAGGTGAAGGATAAGGTTGCTCAACATGAAAACCGCCTGTCGGAAGCTGAAACCCGAATTGACCAAGTGAACAATCGGGTTGACAACGTAATGGCTGACATGAGGAAATCACTTGACGAACCCAAACTTGGGGAGGGAACTACAGCTCCCGTAGTAGCTACTACACCTTCGCTACGTGGGTTCAAGGTGCCACCATTCGACGGGACTTCTTCCTGGTCAGCCTACAAAATCCAGTTCGAGGCTGTTATGAAGGCGAACGGCTGGAATAAAAGTCAGGCCATGACTGCTCTCACACTAGGCCTGCGCGACCAGGCCTTAACAGTTCTGGAAGCTCTCGGTGAGGAAGTGACTTATGAGCAACTCCTTGAGGCATTGGAGGCGAGATATGGCGACGCTCACCTGGAACACGTCTTTCGTGCGCAGCTTAAAGATCGTGTGCAGCGCATCAACGAAAACCTGCAGCAGTGGGCTCTAGAGGTGGAGAAGCTGGTGCGAAAAGCATAGCGGTCTGTACCTGCGCTCATTGAAGGGAACCTGGTGCAGACATTCATCGACGGCATCCGTGACCTGGAAGTCAGAGCTGCTGTGAGGCTCGGACACCACGAAACGCTTAAGAACGCCTTGGCCCATGCACTGGAGGTGGAAGCCGTGCGGCAGGATCATCGTTCCCATCGCGTCAGGGAGGTTGCAGCAGCTATAGTCCGTGACCGCAGCAAAGGATACAGCCCTAGGTGCTATGGTTGTGGGGAAAAGGGCCATCTTCGATCCAGCTGCCCTAAACTAACCGTGGAAAGGAGAGTTGATCGATCTCGAGAGGGTAGTACAGCTAACGGCACTGCCTGGCGGCGACAGGATCATCGTTCACCTCACGCTAGGGAGGTTACAGCAGTTACGGTTCGCGACCACAATAAAAGATACAGCCCTAGGTGCTATGGCTGTGGGGAAAGGGGCCATCTTCGGTCCAGCTGCCCTAAGCACACCCTAGGAAGGGAAGGTGAACGGTCTCAGAAAGGAAGTGCGGCTAACAGCACCGCCCAGCAGCAGCAGGAATACGACTTTACTATCAAACACTGCAGCGGGAAATCTCACGGCAACGCAGATGCATTGACAAGAAGACCTTGTCCTGAAGATTGCAAACATTGTACTAGGCAAGAGAGTAAGGAAGTGGTATCCGTGAGGATGCTCAGGGCAGACCACCTCAGCAACGAGTGGAAGGACAGCTTTCAACGTGCACAGCAGGAAGATCCGGACATCAAGTCGATCCTGTAATGGATGAAGGCCAGTGCTCCCAAGCCTAAGTGGAGCGACGTCTCAGCAATGAGTTCAACCACTAAAAGCTATTGGGCCCAGTGGGACAGCTTGCTGCTTCAGGATGGAATGGAAAAATGGGAAAATGTGCGGGGAGACAGCTGTCATTTACAAATGGTTGTCCCTAAAACTAAAGTACCGGATGTTCTACAGCTATACCATAATGATTATTCAGGAGGCCATCTGGGAGTTAAACGAACTCTACCGAAGATCCGAGAACGGTTTTACTGGGTCCACTGTCGAAACGATGTCGAGGACTGGTGTCGCAAATGTACAAGTTGTGCGGCTGTAAAGGGACCTCAGACTCATAGTAGAGGTGCATTAAAGTTGTACAATGTGGGTGCACCATGGGAGAGAATAGCCATTGACGTGGCGGGGCCGTTTCCGGAGAGTGAAAGCGGTAACAAGTATTTCATGGTTGTGATGGATTACTTCACTAAGTGGCCAGAAGTCTTCGCCATTCCAAATCAAGAAGCTTCAACAGTTGCAGATAAACTAGTTCATGAAGTCTTCTGTCGTTTTGGAGTACCTTTAGAGATTCACAGCGATCAAGGAAGGAATTTTGAGTCTCAAATATTCCAGGAAACTTGCCGAGTTATGGGTACTCATAAAACAAGAACGACTTATTATCACCCGCAATCTGATGGAATGGTGGAACGATTTTATCAGACATTGGAGAGGTACCTAGCAAAAGTTGTAGACAATCGGCAACGAGATTGGGACAAGCACATACAACCGTTTTTGTTGTCATATCGAAGTTCTGTTCACGAAAGTACAGCAGTGACACCAGCTTTCGTAAACTTTGGAAGAGAATTACGGCTGCCTGCGGACCTGATCACCGGGATACCACCTGATGCCCCACGCAGTATAACCGATTATGCAAATGACTTGCGGAACAAAATGAATGACATTTATGAGCACGTCAGACAATCGGGCCAGCAAATGTCTGAGAAAATGAAAACCCGGTACGACCGCAAAATGAACAATAAAGGGAAATCTCCTAAGCTTCAAGCTAAATGGGACGGCCCGTACCGGATTGTAACCAGGATCAACGATGTGACCTACCGGATACAGAAAGGCGCAAGAGGGACTCCTAAGATCGTCCATGTGGATCGCTTGGCGCGTTATTATGGGACCGATAATGCTCGGGACGAGCATGTCTTAGGAGGGGGCAGTAGTGTTGCATGAATAAGTCAACTAGCGCCATCTAGTGTCAGGAACGAGAGCGAGGGGAGCTTTGCAGTAAATGACTTCACAAATCTTTCGACCGACAGCGCCACCCGAAGAAGTAAGTTTCTGGAAAATCTACACTCGAATACTCGTTGCCTGGGGCGCATTTACTTGAATGTTCGGGGCGCTTCTTTGCTAATTATATAAATAGGCGCTGCAAGATGCGATCGGGGCAGAGTTGAACTCGGCGACAGAAGCGAAGCTTCGGAGCGGAATTAAGTGAATTAGTGTGTTTAATTATTAGTGTTTTTAGTTTTAATTTGTGTAAAGTAAATTAAAGTGTTAATTTAGGTAATTTTATCGGCAATTTTTATTGTCACGAACCTCAAGCTCGTAACATTATGTTAAAATTCTGTAAATTTAATTAAATTAATAATCACAATGTCACGTAAAAAATATTATTATAAATAAAAATAAAAGTAAGTAAAATATAATAATTGAATAAAAAAATTAAATTAAATTAGGCACAGGCCGAAGTTGTTGTTGCACAAATTAAATAATATTTGTATCAAAATATTTATTTAAATCATAGAAACATTTTTCAATTAAATATAACTTTAATTCGGAAAAAAATAATGTAGTACCCGTAAAATTTTTTATGTCATTTGGAAGGTTAATAAAAATTTTAACTGCCATAGAGTAGGGACTAGAGCTATGCAAAGCAAGAGTAGATTTCGGCAATAGTAGCCTATTTTGTTTTGGTCTAATTGAGTATTTGTAATTTGTTTCACCTAATTTGGTAAATATTTCTGGGTAGTTTTTTTTACAAATTTGCATGTGTCCCAAATATGAATAGACGTCAAAGTCCAAATTTTAAACTTTATGAAGTGGGGCTTACAACTTTCTGGAATTTTTATGTTTGCCAAGATTCTTATAAATTTTTTTACATTATAAATACTTGCTGTGCATCTTTACTATTTTCCCACAACATGACACCGTATGACAGCCATAAAGATGTGACATGCGTAATATGCTGACAGAGCGCTGGGGACATCTGTAGTTTTCTTTATTTCTCGTAATACGTAAGTGAATTTCGACAGTCTATTTTTTACTTTAATTATATGGACTTTCCAGTTTATATGGCAGTCGATTTCCAGGCCTAACAAGTTGAAATTGTCAACGGTTCCTATAGTTATATTATTATAAGTAAAAGCGATATTTAGTGGTGATTTTTGAACTGGTCTGAATTGCATAATTTTGGTTTTATTAAAATTAATCTCTAGGTTATGATGTCTCAGCCAATTTGTAATCTGGTTCAATACTTGATTCAATTTATTATTTAAATTCTGGTCTTTTGTATGCGGAATAAGAATGAAAATGTCATCAGCAAATATAATAAAGGTTTCACAGTCAATACCCTAGATTGAGAAAGAAAATCGCACAACACTAAATGTAAAATTGCTCTTCATACCTTAAGAAAAAAATAAACATTTATTATTTGTAATTTTATATTATTAAAATAAAAAAATTCATCATCATCGACGCTTTCCGAAATGCGAATGAGTTCTGAGGAATCGTTCATGTTGCACTACTTTTTCCGCTATTCGTTTATGACGTCATCAGGGTGTCGTCTATCCTTGACCACGGCGCCCAATGAACTGATAATCGATGACGCGCTAAGGATGCGCCAGAGTTATTAGATTTATTATGCGAAGTTGATTTGATGAAATTTTCTTTTATTTATGTAGCTGATGATAGTTTTTATTTTATTCAAATATTAATAATAATTTAAAAAATAACACGTTTGCGTTTAATTTTGAATAGTTTTCAATAAATCTATGCCTAACGCATTACAACACTAGCGGTCAAACATAGACGACTTTGGCGTGCTGGACATAGTATTTGCTTAGATAAAAATCCATTTTTTTAGTTCAATGTTTCTTAGTACTTGTTGTATTTTATACTCACATGTTGCTAGGTTATTATTTTTTGAGGAGTGTAGAATTAAAATACCAGTAATAATTTTCCAATATCTAAGTATATTTCATATTTTTGTAGGCCGGGTATTTTTGTCAACTATAGATGTCGTTGGCGCTCAGAGCTCGCAGGTGCTGGTCAAGTATAGGCGACTTTGGCGCTCAAAAGGTTAATGAAGGAATGTCTCGTTAACAGAAAAAGGGTTTTCTTCACTCACGATACGAAACAAAGCATCATTGCCTGCGGTTTTAGCTGGTATTCTGTGAGAGCGTGGGAGGACCCCCGGTAGAGCAACCTATTCGATCTGCAACCATAATAATTACCTACCTTCCTATTATCTTCCTACTCATCATACGAAACAGCAACATTACATTGCTGTTTCACGCTGGTATTCATTAGCATTAGCTAGGAGGAAGGCAGTGTATACGTGGTAGAGCCACGCTGCAGCTGTATTATGGTTGTAGCATGAATGGGTCGGCTCGACCGGGGAAGGACCACGCTCTCACAGAATACCAGCGTAAAATAGCAGCTTAATACTGCTGTGTTTCGTATGGTGAGTGTAGAGATCCGGAGACCCTTTTTTACTGGAAACGAGGCATTCCATCTTAGTCCTCAGGGGTGACAACGCATCTGTGTTTTGATTCTTAATCGAGGATAAATGTGTCTATGGGCCACAGCATCCACATACCATCAGGAGGACTGCGTGCTCGTTTGTCATCCTTATTCTAAAAAAACATATAGTGTTACCTGCGTGAGTATTTCTAGGCCGCGCGTTTCGTCAGTGTTGTCGGTAAGCATGCGCGCTTGTATTTCGAGCAACAGGCGAGTGAGCGCCGAGCGCATGTTTTCACCTTCCAGTGTTACCACGTGACGCACGCCATTTGTGTAAGGCAGACTTGTTGCTGGTACTTGCGACTCCATCCTATACGATCAAAATGCTTAAGAATTTCTGGTAATCAGTGCCGAACCATCCTCATTACAGATACTATTGTTTATTAGGAAAGTTTTGAAAATATTTGTTCGCGTGCAAGTTATTCAGATACTAACATTAAATTTAAATTGAATTTATATGCGAAATATATTTAAAAAAGTTATAAAATAGTTTATTTGTTGTATGTATATATATCATAGAATACACACGTAAATATAATTGAACAAAAAATATAACATAACAACACCGAAATAAACAAAAATTATATTTTAGAAAATATAAATGCTGTAGTATAAAACTGGATGAAATGAAATGGTCTGGTGAGTATTGGCTTTTAATGAAACATTAAAAAATTGTTCATACTTTAGTTGTTTTATACAGGGTTATATTTCAGTGTCCAAATTTTATACTTAAGTTCAAATATTTAAATAATGATATACCACCATTGCAGTTTTTGAAAATACGAGTAAATAAGGCTTCTACTTTTATTTGAAATTATCCCAAAATGAATGTGATTTATGGGCAACAACTAAGCGTATGCGCACTTATCGCGTGCGCGCGCCTAAATTCACAATGTTTTTGCCGACTGAGCGACCCTTACGTAGTAAAAAAGTAAGCGTTTGATATTTATGAACGACAATCAGTAAAAATAATGCATTACCCCGCTTTTGATAAGGATTTCAGATTTTTATTATTTATTTTTTACCATTTGCTTATATTACTTATTCTGAACCTTCTCTGCTTTGGGCGTATATTGAAAAATAACCCTGAATAATTGTTTTACAAATGAATATATATTATATATATTTTTATACTTACAGAATCACTGGTTTCTCGTCAGGGGGTGGCAAGAACGTGCTAGAACAGAGCACAGCGTATATCACGTAAAAACTTCTAAGTCTGCGGTCCCGACACATGGGTCTATCTCCACTCAGCCACTGGCGTAATCTAGTTACTTCAGGTATCAAATATCTGTCCACCAACATCTGGGCACATGCCGCTTCTTCTGCATTAGGTACGTGCCATTTTAACTTCGCATCTTTAATGAAACAACCACGTCCCCAATCGCGAATCGGCAACCACTTTTCCGGTGCTTCACCGTAGTCATTGGGAGAACTCCTCGTTTCCTTCAAATCGATGTATGACAGGGAATTAAAAATACCGCTTAGTACCTCACAGGCGCGCGTGAGGGCGTAATTTGCATGAATCTTTAATATCCTATCTAGAACAGGTATAATATCAGGAATGTATTTAAGCAACACTGTACCGTCACACTGCACAAGGTTCATTAACAGAACAAGTCTGTAAACGAGATCACGTGGTGGATTCTCTTCGTGCAAAGCTTCATCTGTTAATAGACGTTCTTTTATCTCGTGGCAGAGATCGGGCAAGAAAGCAGCTAATGTCGCTTCTGAGTCAATCTTAGCAAACATACGAAGCAAAACACCCACCATACTACCGGAAACACTAGTTTCAAACGTAGATTCGGTTGCGAATGCCTTAAACTTTCTCAATGCTTCTCTGAATATTTTAGGTGAGCATTGCATCAAAACCCCTTTCGCCGCGGATGATATCGCTGTCTCCATCATGGCATCTGTTTTACTTCTAATGCCATCAGAATCTTTCGTATCTAAACGCGCATGTTCCATAACACTCGATTCAATGATAACAAACAGTCGATCCAAAAACACAAGTACGAAGTCTTCGAATTGAGCCGTTGATTCACAAACTAAGAGCTCTTCTTCAGTGAGATCAGGCCAGTATTCATATGCAGAACTGCAATCTATATAAGGTACCATGCTACTGAAGATTAATATAAAATGCAAAGTGACTAATGTCTTTTTAATGTCGTTCGGATCCAGGCCCGGGAGAACTGCCAGCAGAATGGGAACTACGTGAGTTGGTCCTTCGGGATAATCGGCGTCTGGTCCTCTGAGTATTTGCCTTGCGACGGCAGCCACAGCGGACATAGCGGCTGTAACTCTATGGGGTTCCGTCAAAGAACTCAATGATGTTCTTAACCTTTCTAGAAGGGGTGGTATTACTATAGCTGGCCTCAATGTGGCGAGATTCTGTAATACTACTGATATATCGAGGGATCCACTACGACTGTACACCGCTTGAAGGGTAGGTTCAAGAGTTATTTTTACGAATTCCGTTATATCTTCATCTCGAAGCTTGAACGATTCTGGTGTTTTATTTTCCCAGCTGTTTCTATATTTCTTTTCGCGTTCTCTGCGAACTCTATAAAAATGGAAAGAATTATGTTGATTAATATAACGACTTCAAATATTATTATATAGTTGTTTCAGGCTCTCGCGAGTGTATTCACTTTAGAGTTCACCAATCAGTAACAGCGTGATAAGTATGGGCAAATCTAAGTAGATTTAGAGACTAGATTTGCCCACACTCATACACTTAACATAACTTTCGTTTTTTAGAAAACTCTATGACCAGCAGTGTTCTCGAACAGATTGATTTATTTATAACCATATTATACAATAAAGATATTAATTAATTCGCAACCATCCGCTTAAAAATACTATGATGTGTCTTACCTGGATTGAAGATCACCTCCCGCCCTTTCTCAATTGCATGCACTAATCCCGTCACCACTGATCCCAGCACCACTACTTCCAACACCACTATTCCAGGAAAGACACACCATCGACGACAATACGACACGTGTTTCACCTCTACACGAGGCATCTTCAGGTGATGTAGACTCTACGGCGGCTGGCCGCTAAGTGTTGGGAGTAGTGGTACTGGGATCAGTGGTGACGGAATTAGTGCATGCAATTGAGGGAGGGCGGGAGGTGCTCTTCAGTCCAGGTAAGACACATCATAGTATTTTTAAGCGGATGGTTGCGAATTAATTAATATCTTTATTGTAATCGATTTCCGCAAAGTACCTAACGCCTGATTCTATCAATTATCATATTATATAATGTTATAACTTATTCAGAGTAATGTAATGATGTATTGAGCTGGCTACTTACCTACCAAGAAATTCTCGTGCTAACTTCCTTAAAAGGTCTCGAAGCTTGAAAGACCATCGGCCTGAATTGGCGCTGTGTAAATAACTCTCGATTCCTGCGAGAAAACTTCCTAAATGCTTTAACATGACGCCATTTGGCGATATATTCCAAACAATCCATGACGCCACTTGTTTAGTATCTACAATATATTTAAGAATAGAAAATTTAATTATTTCTTATTCCAACTAGATCGTTTTCATTACATTTTAAAAATAATAAATATAGAGCAGAAAAATATAAAAACCATATACCTAAGGAAAAGTTTCTGTTGTATTGCAGGTCTTTATAGCTAACTGGTAAGTTGAGGGAGTGTAGGATATACATAAACATTTTGGGTACATATGGTGTCCAATCAACAGCACCAGGGTTTCTTTTCGATAAACCACCAAATAACAACATTAAATCCTGTAATTGGTATAAAGTTAACAAAGACAAGGTAAGTTTTGATAATTAATATACTTTTTTTACAGCTGCTAAAATTTTGGTAACTTACATTAATACCACTTTGTGAATTGTAACAGGTGTCCCATAAATCCATTGCCTTATCAAACCATAGTTTATGTCCAAAGTCTGCATGTTCTGGTGGTAATGTGACTGGGAGAAACACAGCCAACTGGCTCATAAAATGTGCATCTGAGGACCATGGAAAGATTTGGGGCAATACCTCAGCTAAGATCTCTTTTGTTGCGTTCAGGTCAAAATAGCTACAATTGTTAAATTAATTTAATTTTTCTTTAATTAATAAAAAAAAATATACTGTAATTAAAACACTTACGGCTTTGCGCAATTTATCATAGAAATATATGATCCCTCCAATGACCTGCAATAAACATATTTGTAAAAATAAGTTGAATTTTTTATCTCTTTCACATGCAAGCTAACAATCCAACCACCACACTGGCCTGAAACCTATGAAGAATTAATGATTTGTGAACCACATCCCACTATCACCAAGAGAATGTGATTAATAGCTGAACCCTGTGAATGAAATGCTAAAAAATTACGTTGAAAGTTTGTTTTCGTCTTGTCCCGTAAATCCGAACAGAGCAAGAGCGTCATCTAGCCCATGACCGGACAGGAATTTGCGAATCACTTCGATCATATTGACTTCTTGTTTCTCAGAATGTTTTCCCCTGAACAGATATAATTTGCTTAAAGGAAAGAACTGATTGTTTGTCGTTTGTTGACTGATATTTTTTGTTGAAAAATCGTTATGTAGTTAAGTCATTTTTAATTGGAAATGTTAATGAAATTATAAGTCATAGAGCAATAATGGTGCTAATTTAAAATTATTTCTTGTACCCCATTCGCAATAAAGGGTTATTTTAATTGGTTGTAAAGTATATAAAATAATATACCTATTTCACCACCCAATAATATAAGTAGCATAATACCTACATTTTTGACTTACTCACACTTGTTATAAACTACAATAATTACGTAATAATCCGGTCAAATTAGACCAGAAAACAAGAATAAAGATAAATAAAGTAACAAAAAAGTTGATAATCAGTAAAATTGTTCAAATTATAGTTATAAATAAAATTCGAAGTTCCCCATCATTCCTGTGTATGAAAAAAAATTACTCAAGGTCAAAGGTTAAAAAATGAGATTTTCGATGATTTTCGACGATTTTCAGCAAAACAACACACACACCTTTTACAACTTTTTGAATCGTAGGTACCTCAGAAACGGTGGCTCATAGGAAAAAAGTGTTGATACATTTCTGTAGATAATTTTATGATCTACAACTTTTGTCTGGAGTATTTTTATCATAAAACTTACCGTTTTGCTGAAAATCGCGAAAAACTCATTTTTTTTGACCTTTGACCTTGAGTAAAAATTTTTCCACACACAGGAATGGTTGAGAACTGCAAAATTTGATTTATAATTATATTTTGAACAATTTTACCGATTATAAGCTTGTTGTAACATTATGTATCACTGAAAGTCTAGATTGACCGGACTAAAAAGTTAAAATGTTTCTGTTTCTATAAATTTAAAAAATTTTTATATGTACATGGCCTAAGTAAAGCATCATTATAATTTTAAATTCCTTTTCTGTTTTAGGTATGAAAACTATACAATGCATCCCAAACCCTAATTTATCTCAAGCAATTTTTGTTCAAAAAGTCTCGATTAGTTTAGTCACTGAAGATTCTGTGACGAGGGACCTGTCACAAAACAGTGAAACTAGTGATTATGTGTATACTATATTATTAAAATATTATGCAGAATTTAAGAAGACTAATTATTTATAATATTTTGTTTCTAAACAAAAAAGAACTCACGACAAATAGTGATAAATCCCAATGGCTGTTTCACTTTTCTCAAATATTTTTTTCCCCATTTCATAGAGTGGGCGCCATGGAAGTGTCAGCTCTTCTGGCGAAATTAAATGTCTCTTTCTGGAATTAAACGCATTCAATGACATAAGTAAATAATATAATATAACACATTATAAAAATATAAAAATTAAAGAAAAACAATAAAATGAGTGTTTACTATGTAGAGTACTTCATACTTACTTGGTGAGCATTATAAACATTGTAGCAAATTTGTGAACCTTGCAGGGTTCCAAATCTGGTATGAGAACCAGCTCATATGCCAATTTTACGAGGGCAATGTGATCTTCTTTTCCAAACTTTAGTCCATAAATCCGAATGTATCTTTAAAGAAATAAAGAAATATGAAAAATTTAGTAATTAAAAACACAATCATTATTTATTTTATAATCACTTCCTCATTCTATATAAAATGAGAGCTAGTTCTTGGATATAACTGTAACTTGGTAATTGGCGTTAGGATTCTTACTACATCATTTCCTCTAATCTCTGACAAATCTTAAAAAAATTCATTTAGCATCACAACTATGTTTGTGTTATTGTATAGAAACCATTAAATAATAAAGAATAGTTAGAAGAAAATCTAAATCAAGAGTGGCAACATCGCGAAAGGCTAATATAAGGAAGGCGGCTGGCGGCACTCGTCCATTTGACCATCGGTCATCACCGAATACCTAACGATCAAAAATTATATATCCTCTCCACTTGATCAAAGACTATATAGATAGGTTAGGTAATGCTCGCTAGTATAGCTCCTCTGGACATGATGTCGGGTTTCCATCAATTTAGGGTTGCTGAAGAATCGATTCATAAGACCGCATTAATTACATCAGAGGCCCAAAATGAATATTGCATGGTTTCTTACGGTTTAGCAAACGCGCCGATTTTTTATCAGAAGACTATCTCTAAAACGTTTAAATCCCTCATTGATACTGGAAAAGTCATGGTCTACATCGATGACGTATTAATAATGTCGGACGGGATCGACGAAAACCTAATTTTATTAGATTCGGTTATGATAACGCTAACTGAAACACGTTTTTCAATTAATTTAAAGAAATAAACTCTTCTTACAGTCGAAATAGAATATCTAGGTAGGATTATAAGACATGGTCAGTCAGGTTAGACCAAGCAATTGTAAAATTGATGCTTTTTGCATTTGCTTTTAAGATAGACACAGACTGTAATGCGTTAAAAATAACACAACATGAGAACCCAGAGTTGCCAGATGGCGGATGTTCAAAAACCACAAAATTGAGATTAAGTGGCACAGGCAGGTAACGAGGAGATATTAACGTTACTTGAAACAATAAATAACGGTAAATTAGATGACACGCGTTACGTGAAACGTAATAACCTCTTGTACTATAAGTATGACGTCACCGGTGAGCAAGTGCGATTCTTATGTTACGTACTAAAAGCATTTCGATTAAGTTTATTACGCGTTTTCCATGATTCTACACTTCTGATTCCCCGGTCTTAGTAAATTTGTCGCGAAATATGCCACGCACTGCGTAGCGTGCACCTCACATAAACAAGTTCCTCGCGCACCTTTGCAAGCAATATCTTCTTGGCAAAAAGCTCCGGTACCATTTGATATGCCCCATTTACATTCAGCCCGTTTGGGCAGGGAAGTGAGCAGGGCAGTGGGCAGGGCAGTATGTAAACAGGCTACTCGCGCTGCCGCTGCCGCTGCCGCTGACACTGCCCGAAATGTCGGTTTTTCGTGCGGAAGTCAAAGGACGGGCAGCGCGAGCGGCAGTGTGTGTTCACATTCAGCTCCATCGCTCACTTCGCGACAAGCGCCTGGATGAACGGACGTGCGTGCCGTCCTGTTATTAAATAAATACGATCTACCAAAATGCCTTTCGAGTGGATTAATGAAAATACAATAAAGTTTTTAGAACTGCTGGAATCAGAAAAATCTATATGGGATTTCAACGATAAAAACCACAATTAATCATCTTCTACGAATACGAATTTTCTTTTTGAGATAACATAGTAGGTACCTATGTACATAATTAATTATAAATTCGTCAAATTTTATAAAATTTAGTTTAAGGAATTAATGAAAATTGACATTTTATTTCTAAAACGATTAGTAACTCATATTGATTATTTATTTATTAAAATGTAAAATAAGTTAAATGGAAATATTTGCATAATAGCCTGAGATTTTTAAATTATAATTTTATTGTAATTAAAATTACGAATTAGTTTATACTGAAGTGTAATTAATAAAATAATAATAGCTTAACTAATCTCATATAATATTTAATATTATTTATGTAACAATAATATAATAATTCAATTAATAATTTATGAACAATTTACTGTATAAGAATTCAAATAGAGTGGATCTGTATAAGTATTTAATTGTACATAATATTTGAATTCAAAAAGAATGTGTGTACCTAACTTTTAAGCAACATCGGGTTTGTGTAATTAGCTGTATTTCATATCATTTTTCCATGCCAATTATGGCAAAACATGTCAGTTTCACGTCATTGATCATCTTATGTACCATGTTTTTAAGCAAATAAATTTTCTATCTATCTATCTATCTTCTTTTGAACTTGATATCTTTTTAAATTATTAACATAATTTTGTATTGCAAGAAGACACAGCGTGGACGCTGTAATTATTTCGACGTCCGCCATAGTCGAAAGCCGAAAGCGATGTGAGTGGTAGGGCAGAGTGTGAATACACACTTCCCGCGATCCTGCTACGGCAGTATTTAGGGAAGTATTGCCGGCAGCGCGAGGAGCAGTGGCAGTGGCTGAATGTAAATGGGGCTATACAATACATGCGGATGTACACGGACCACTGAGAGAAAGTGATAGTCATAAACATGTATTTATTATAGTTGACGCATATACTAAATATTGTCTGGTTTATGCATTCCCAAGGCAAGAATGTAGTCGCTTGAAGCGCGTAATGACCCAAATCATTTCTCTGTTTGGTACTTTTAAAAGACCAGTGTACGATAGAAGTCTTATATTCGATAACCATGAGTTTATTAGTTCGATTTATAATTATGCAGTAAATGAATTTCATTACCCCTAAAATGTATTAGGGAAACGGGCAAGTGGAATGCTATTGCAGTACAATGTTAAACGATAAGAGTTGAAGTAAATTATAATCAAAATGATTGGTCAAAAAAACTGTAATTGGTTTTAAATGTAGGACAACCCAATATTCGGCATAAAATCTTCTGGACCCCCTGAAAACTTGTACTGCATTTTTAGAAGGTACTTGTTGTACGATTGCTGTTATGTTTGCTTTGTTGAGCCACATACCTGTGTTTATTGATTTTGGCTACGTTATGTATTGTGTTCAGTGGAAAAGACCCGTGTAAATCCTGCACGCAAGGTATTCATTGGGTTGACCCTGACACTGGTGATTTTTTTAGGGTTTATTTCAGGTATTTCAGGTTTAATTTTCACTGCTGGTTTATGTTAGAGTATTTTCTACGTGTACTAACACGATGTAGCGTGAATAAAGCTAATTAAACGTTGTAAAAAATGTGGTTTTTTTTTTAACCGGGATCGATTTTATTTTCGTCACATCATCAAAGGTTTCCCTAATATCGACACCTGCAAGGAAAATCATCGTAAGTCACTTTTTAGCGATTTTGAGTTACGATCATATTCTCAGTAAATAAAAAATTCTCTTTCATTTGCGCTCACCCCTGTATCTAAATTCATTCGCGTTACGATTTTGGCTAGTAGAAAAATGTTGTAAGTCAGTGTCCACTGAAGGTAATAAAATGGTATATTTAGTTACACATACTTACTTACGCCTGACATTAATTTATTACATAACAATAATTGCAATACAAGATACTCTCTTGTTCTTGGCAATTATATTTTCGTAATAAAAAAACTTTCATCGTAAAATTGCTTACGATGTTTCAATCTTTAAACAGAAAATAAAAATATCAGTCCAAAGACTGTAACATAAGTTACAATTATTTTCTCTGCAATAATTTTCGGGTTGTGTTTGTTTAACGATAGGTTATTAAACTTACGATGCATAGATTCTTGATCGCTTCCTCACCTCGCACGTGTTATTGATGTTGTGTATAAGTTACGACGTATTTTTTGCCGGAACTTGCATACAATATTGGATGGTTTTAATATGAAAAGAGTTAAAAAATGAGTCACCGCAGTAAGATAATTGCGTTAGCTTTAGCTAAAAGTAAAATTACGGACAGTAACGCAGGTTAGTAAATGATCAGTATTTTTAAATATTTACATATCATCCACTCATTGTTATAACATCTTATTTGCAATTTAGAATAAGCACAGTTCACATGAATATTATGATTGACCTCATAAATATCTACATGCAGTAATTTTGAGGTATTTCAAAAATTTCAAAATCTTTATTTCACAACACAATGGTTTGTAACTGTAAACAGAGGTTGGGACCATCCTATTAAGTAATAATAATACTTGTGCCAGGTATATTATTACTTTATGTACAAACTGCAATAGACGATTTTTTAGGAAGACGAACATGTGAACAATCGAACGTCAACGTCAACCTCAACGTCATTACGTTGAGAATAATGTACCACTGGAAAGGAGGATGTCACCAAATTTTGTCAAGACAGGTACGTATATAATGAAGTCCATTAAAATTACGTATGAACCTGGACTTGAAGTATGTTAGGTTTGTGTTAATTGCGTTCTACATGATTGATGCAATAGAACCTGGAATACGAAACTCTAAAGAACAAAGTAATAGGGAATGGAAGGCAAACTAATGCAGAAGAGCCTAGAATTTCATCACACATTAATGCTAAAGAAAAAAAGAAATATCCGAAGAAAGTTAAACCAGGAAGGAAGAGATTTTTGAATAAAGAAAATTGGAAGGCTGAAATATGTAAACGAAAGAAAAATTTGGGCGAGTAGTTTATAAATAGAAAAGGGCAGTTAATAGCGAAAAAAATTATGAAACCAGACTGTGGTGCTAATTGTTCACGTAAATGTCGAGAAGCAATCACAGAAAACCAGAGAAGTTTAATACTTAAAAACTTCTGGGAACTGGTGGATACATAATAAACAAATGGATTATATTAGCCGATTTGTTAGAAGAGTCCCAAAAAAACAAGTTATTGCCGCCTCGGTCTCATCCAGTAGGCGCAAGTGGTCTTTTGAATACAATTTGTTTATAGAAGGTCAAGAAATACGAACCTGTAAGACGATGTTTTTAAACACCCTCTCTATAAGCGACATGTGGTTGCAGACTTTATTTAAAAAAATTGATAAGTGCTACAGGTACTATAATAAACGATAAAAGAGGTATACACGGCACGCGCAAAAATGCCGTTCCAGATCAAGTCAAACAATCTGTTAGAGATCATATTTCACAAATGCCATTAGTAAACTCACACTATGTGAGAAACAGAACATCTAAACAGTATCTGGATGAACAACTGAACTTTCCAATACTCTACAAACTTTATTTGGAATGGATGAATGAAAAACATTCCGATCAGGTCGTTGCGACTTCAAGACAGTATAGGGAGATATTTAAGACATATTTTAATATAGACTTTAACAAACCAAGAATAGACCAATGTCCAAGGTGTGATTTATTTAAAAATTCAACTGAGACTGACAAAACTAAGCTAGAGTATGAGTACGCTTTACATATTGCAAACAAAAATGTGGTCAGGTCTTTAAAAGATAGTGACAAACATCGAGCTAAACACTCTGATTCTGTTGTAACAGCTTGTTATGGTTTACAAAAAATTTTGAATACTCCTCATTCAGAAGTATCCGTATTTTACTACAAAAGAAAACTTGCTACATATAACTTCACGATCTATGATATGGGTAAACATAAAGGGTATTGCTACTTGTGGGACGAGACGATCGGACGCAAAGGATCTAACGAAATAAGTAGTTTTGTATTCGACTTCATAAAAACTAGGGTTCAGGAAGGATACAAGGAGTTTAATTTTTATTCTGATAGCTGTGGCGGTCAGAATAAAAATAGGACAGTATTCGCAATGTATGCATATGCTAGCAGAATATTTAATATAAATATAAATCATTACTTCTTTGAAGTTGGACATTCACAATCAGAGGGTAATGCGATGTATGCACTTATTGAGCGAAGGAAAAAAACATAAAATTATCTACGTACCTCAGCAATGGGTGACTTTGATAAGATGCGCTAAATCTAGTGGTGAGCCGTATGAAGTCAAGGAAGTAAACCAAGATAATATATTGGATTTTAAACAACTTTTGTCATGTTACAAAAATTGCGAACACGACGTTAACCATGTGAAAGTCTCCTGGAGTAAAATTATGCATATTCATTTTATCAGTAGCTTACCTAATATAATTAAATTTCAATATGATTATCTGAGCGACAATGAAATGGCTATAAATCTAGCTCAAGATATTAAGACAGTTTCTCTTCAGGCAGTTACTCGTCGCGCTACCAAGGAACCTCAAAACAGTGAACAAGAGCTACCGATTTCAAAGGCTTTTAATGCACCTTTGCCTTTATCCTGGAGTAAAATTATGCATATTCATTTTATCAGTAGCTTACCTAATATAATTAAATTTCAATATGATTATCTGAGCGACAATGAAATGGCTATAAATCTAGCTCAAGATATTAAGACAGTTTCTCTTCAGGCAGTTACTCGTCGTGCTACCAAGGAACCTCAAAACAGTGAACAAGAGCTACCGATTTCAAAGGCTTTTAATGCACCTTTGCCTTTATCTACAGCAAAGTACAAAGATTTAATAAGCTTATGTAATAGCAATGCCATTCCAACAATATATCATGATTATTTTATAAATTTACCTCATGTGAAAACGATTCTACCAAATAATATCACTGATTCTGATTAAGAAGTATTGTATTTTAAAACTATTATGTATATTTTAGTGAGTTATATATAATCGAATGTTTAGTATGCATACAATATAATTACTATATTGTATGCATACTAAACATTTTAAAGTATCTTACAGAAACAAACATTTAAAATTTAAAAAAAGAAAAGTCTTTGATGTACATAATCAATGACATTTCTTTTTTTAATAATTATTTTTTCTTAAATTTCAAATGGTTCTTTCTAGATATTTTTGAATTTATTTTATTAATAGATAAACTGATTTTAGATAGTTGGTTAGAGATTGCAAAGACTTGTAATTGTTTATAGAGTAATAATTTTAATACTTTCTCTTGCTTAAATTTGTAATTTTTGTTTCTTTAAATATTTTAAAGTTTGTTATTAATTGTGATTTTCAGAATTTCTGTATTGCTTATCTTAAAGTTGATTGGATCGGTACCTTAAACAGATTTCAAAAGAAAATTAAAAAATTGGCAAAACGACATTTTTTATTATTATATTTTCTTAACTATGAAAGACTCTTTGTTTTGGTGTGTCAACATGATTTATTCCTTGCATTTTGAGATTTTTATAGTTAAAATTAATAAAGATTTTCGTAATTATTTCACAATGTTTTATTCTTACATTAACTCAAAAACACATAAAAATACATGTTTGGCATTGTATCTCAGACTTACATTGTTTTTCACTTAATGAAGTAAATATTAACACACAAAATTGAATTGTATGTCTCAGTTACAATGTCATTTTATAAAGTTTATGTCATGTAATGTCATTGTAACTCATGAAAAATAATAGAATACATATATTAATAACATATTAATGATATGAAAGTGTAGATTTTCCTTTGCTAACTTAAATTTTCACGGTGAGATGGCACTAGGACTTAACAGAACTATATAAGAATTTTTTTAATCTTTGACGCGCTCTCCTGTAAAGTTGATAAAAATCAGTTACGATCTTTTTCCTTGCATGTGTCGATATAATCGTCTGTCTTCGTTTTCGGGAGCGTTTCAAAAATATCCTTATGAATTTAGATCAACTGTTAATACGCGATATAAATAAATATCTTTCTTAGAATGTGTATATCTTCTCAGAGATCGATGATAGTGAGGCCGAAATCCACGAGTTTCTGCTGAGGGCTTCGAGCACGCAGCCCCGTCAGGAGAAGCTCTGTTAGAAGAAAATCTAAATCAAGAGTAGCAACACCGCGGCGGGCTACATAAAGAATGGGCCTGCGGCACTCGTCCATTTCGTCCATCGGGCATCATGGAGTGCGGAAGCCCTGCCTGCTGTGTTTCTATTTGTAAGATAATAATAAATTAATATATATTATATTAAATAGTTACAAAATAAATAAAAATAATAAATAAGCGCTTTATGCGAAGCCCCATTGAAGACCTTTCACTATGTCCAAACTAACAGCCACGGCCTCCCCCTTGGTCTCGACTGCCACCGCCCATTGGTGTCATAAGATCAACAGCTGAGCAACCGTGACGGAAACCGTAGTGCCGGCCACTAAACAGCTAATGCTCTTCAAGGTGCCACATGAGCTGGCAGTTAATTTCCATAGTTTTTGGTTTTTTGGAGAACACGGAGGTGATGATAGGGTTATAGCTGGACGGATCTGAGGAGTCGCTTTAAGGGATTGGGTGCACTAAGGCTGTCTTCCATGAGTTCGGTACTAACCTAGCCTCGCCTTAGGATTACCGGAAAGGAAGCGTTATAACCAATGCCAATTCCGAAGCACATATCATCAGCACAATGGGAGTGACTCCATTAGGTTCACTTAATTTATTGACATTCAGGGAGAGAAGTGCTTTGCGCACCAAGCGCTGTATAAACATCTTACATGAAGCACTCACACCGCGGGTATGGTCGGCGGTATGTTCCCCCATCATAGAGTTAGATGCAAAAAGATCGCCTTAAGGGTATATTCATGTAGATCGTAGTCTCTATGCAGAAATGGGAGAGAGGGCAGATAGAAGTTGCCTTGCACAACTTTGTGTGAGAGACAAGAATGCACCTTTTCCTGCCGGGCTAGCATGAGCAGGGGATAAAAATGTTATCCACCGATTATATCCACTGACAAGGGATAAAATTGTCTTATCCCTATGTCAAAGCTTTATCCACCCTGCGAGCATGGGCCTATGGTGGATATAATATCGACAGTAGATAAACTTATCCCCGCGCATAGAAAATATACGATAGCAAAGATGTTTTATAAAACATCTTTGTACGATAGTATACAGCTATAAACTATACTAGCTATAAACTTCTGATTTACATTAACTTATTTTCTTTTACCTTTTGTTTATTATATTGCTAAACTGTTAATAATTTTTGTTAAACAATATGTCATTTATAATATTTGTTATATTTATTTTAAGCGTATTTCTGCCTTGTTTTTATTTTTTCTATTATTCTAATTCTTTCTTTATTTTCTTTATTTAAGTTAAGTATACATTGCTTGTATCAGTTTGCAAGTATTACTTCCATGTGATAGCATTTATTAAAAAAATATGTGTCTAGAATTAAGCCAATTGCGAAACTGGACAATACAGACCCTTTGGAGGTGGTGTAACCTCTTGAGGAAATTAAAAAAAAAATTATCCCCGCAATTACTGCCATTATAAGAAAATTACAAAATACATCAAAATTGATGTCTACTCTAAGTCACAAAGATTTAATTTTAATTGAAAATGATGAAGCATGAAGAATATAAATGTAATGATTTCAAACAAAACAAGGAATAAATAATTTTATAATCATGAGTATTGTGTTATTTGTATTCCTAATATTATGTATATAAGCCTTTAAACTTGTATTTACCTACACAAGATGCTAATTAAAGTATTTTGCTCCCCACATTCTAATGATGGCCACAATAACTGAGGTCAAGTATTTGCTGATTATTTGTTGTTTGAACAACAGCCATGCCACGGTCTTGACTCGTACCTCTCTAGTAGGTAACTACCATCTGCCAAGAGACTGAAAGATGTAAACTACCTACCTAGAAAAAATATTAAGATAAGTTACATAAGCCACATGTATTGATTGCAAATATACGATGTTTTTGGACAAGGTGGTTGTAATAGATGCTTACTTCAATATGCACTGGTAGTCCATCCACAGAATTAATAGGCTTTAAAGCCTCATAGAGATCTTTACACAAATACAAAACAATCTTTGAGCATCCGAAACCGGCGTAGAAATTCCTTGACGGAGAATTCCAATAGATTAAGTATTCTGATCATGTATCGATCGCTGGTGTAATTTTCTTTCTTGTTTTTCAATTTCTGACACGAAAATGTAGTTGCAATAGGCTCGAGACATCTTTTTCGTATTAAAATGGTTTGAAGATAAACTTAAACCCACGTCCGCGAAAGAGGATAAAATTGTCCCTTTCAAATGTCAAAAAGGGATAATTTTTTCTCTTTCCCTTGGCCTCATGCTACAGATGGGGAGATATATGTCTACTCGTTATGTCAAACGGAGATATACTATAGAGATAAGACAATTTTATCTCTTGTCAGTGGATATAATCGGGGGATATAATTTTTGTCTCTTGCCCATGCTCGCAGGGTGGATAAAATTAAGCAAGGGATAAAAATTGTATCCTCTCCCCGGGGATATATTGTCCCCCGCTCATGCTAGCCCGGCTGAAGGAAGGCGAACTAGTTTTTCGCCAATTCTGCCGATGTGCTCTGAATTTGCCCTGAAACCCATGAAGGCTCTGGAGATGGTATTCTACTTCTTTCTAAGAGTGTTAGTGTTTGCATCCGAAGACGTTGATGCGTCATCCTAAGCACCTTAGCACTCCTGCTTAGACTGTGATGCAATTTAACAGGAAACCCAAACCATGGTTGGGACCCGCCTATGATGGGTACCACAGATGATGAAATAAAAAGTTCTATTCCCTGAAATACCACATCAGCGACAGAATCAGCAAAATTGGGATCATCTGACAAGAAGCAAACCCAAGGGTAGATCCAAATTCAAATTCATTTATTTGTGAATACAGTGAATTAGGTGTTAGTACAACTTACAGTAGCTATAATGTGATTTACAACATTGTGGTGTACAAATATATTTTTGTAGTTTAATTAAAAATTTATTATCAGTAATTTCCTTTTAAAAGTAATTAATGTCATTCGATTTTGAGCATCCTAGAACCCAAATCAATGTTTTAATAAATATAAGAAAATTTTCAATTTTATGAAAAGAGTAACTCTGCCTAATGCTCCAACGGGACATAGGTAATTATTTCAAAAGGGAGCTAGTTGGGGTATCCTATAGTTATATATTTACTGTGACAGTATGCAGCTGAGCTCTTAGACAGGTACCTAACAAGTCCACTATCATTTTTATTATACGTAGCATTTTAGCATTTTGTATCTTAATAAACCTAGCATTTTGTAAATATTTCTTAATATGTTTCCACACTGATGTGGACATGAAACATTTTTAATGGCACCTTTACGTCTAGATAGAAAAAAAAACAACCAGGGAAGGTGCACGATCCTCCACATTTGGAATCAGCATAGGTAAAGTATAATTTTAAATGAAATACTAAATGTTTGATATAGAGGCTGGTAGTATTTATTTGAGAAGACGAAGATTAATTGAATAATTTATTACAAGAAGTTATATTTTTATTTTGCAATTTTGATAATATAAGATTATATAATGCTAATTGTGGGGTGGCAAAATAACAAATATATACTTGAAATTATAAAAAGTGTAATTACTTTTACATTTTTGAAGTCATATATTATTGTAGCGCAAGAGACATTAATTAATCTTCTATTTATTATTATTAAAAACATTCGTATCATTGGATTGGTGGCTGACTCAAAAGACTTATAACAAATTGTCTGTAGTGTGATGACAATGAAATAAACTAAGGCCAGGTGTTAAATTCAGGAAGTTCTGGGCTTAGGCCAGTTATTTTTAACTCATAAGACATTGCCAAAGGTTAATAATATGAAACCATATCATAGACACAAACTGATTTAATCTTAACAAAATTTGATATCACATTCAAAGGCAGAGCAAAGTATTATTTTAACATCTATACATTTTATTTATTTCAAATAGCCTCGATTTTGCAATTTTGCTGGAAGAATTAACTATTTAATTTTACGGTATTTATAATCTGAAAATATATAAAATAATATACCTATTGTATAATACTTATTCAAAGTCATTTTTATATTTAACACTAGTTCGGAAAAAGTCTCTGTCCTGGGAAGAACCAGCAATAAGCCCAACGGGACTCTTTTTTTAAGAAATTTCACTTTACAATAATTTTGTTTGTACAATTTTAAATCAATTTTTATATAACCAGCATGGTGGTAATCACCTCATTCCCAGGGGTTATTTTCATTTATGTATTCATTGATATAATAATAACCCTTTTTGTACAATTTCTCTTTAATAAAATATTTAAACTTGTTTAATGACAACTTTTCCTTTTTCTGTAAAAGCGTAAACATTGCCCCATTAAATGAATTACTAATTATGTAGAGTCTAGAGTAACTGGTATTACATGTATATGTTTGCTCCTAGTGTTTAAAATGTTAACATCTTTATTCTTATGAAAGCTACTTATGTTTTTATGTACATACATTACATTTTCATTAATATATTGCGATGCCAAAGTAAATATATTTATTTCTTTAAATTTTACTCTAAGGAATTCTTTGCAATTTAAGTTATAAATCGCCCATATTGCTCTCTCGCAAAACAAATATGACTTCATGTCAGTCGCATTACTCCATAGCAAAATTCTATAAGACATTATGCTATAAAAGTAATTAAGTAAACTAACCTATCGGTCTCAATATTGGTAAGACTTCTAATCTTTCTAGCAGCATATGCTGCAGAACTAATTTGCCTGCTAATTTAGATATATGGAGGCACCATTGAAGTATAGTGACAGTAATATGAAGAAAAACAGTGGCATCCACAAGACTCAACTCCTCCCCATTTAAGAGCACATTGGTATTTGAATGTTTAAACATTCAAATACCAATGTGCTCTTCATTTACAATACCTAATGTTAACATTAGATATTGTAAATTTAATTTAATACATTTTATCATATTGTCCAACAAATTGTTAGCATTAAACCAATGTATTAATTTTGATAGAGCATTATTTACATTGTCAAAATTAATTGACTGCCCTTTGAGTTTGAAAATTAAAAAGGTATCATCAGCATGACCAAGGCCCATGATCGAGTTCGATTTGACATTCTTTTACGAACATTACACAGAATAGGAGTAAGAAGATCATGGCTCGAATAATAGGAGTAAGAAGATCATGGCTCGAATAATAGGAGTAAGAAGCCAGAAGAACATACAACTGGTTTGAGTAATACCTGACCAATTGAAAGCAGTGTGTAGAGATAGAACACCATAACCTAGCCAGTGGAAATGTGATTAAAGTCGTATCTAAATTTGCACTGGTCACTAAATCAATACCACAGGGTAGTGTTCTCGGTTGTTTTTTATTTTTAATTTATATTAATGATTTGCCAAAAATAATCAAAGCTCCATGTACCTTGTTCGTAGATGATCTTTCTGTAGTCATCCCATTTGATAATAATAATAACAATCTTAACAACTGTCTAGATATTGTACTAACAAAAATCTCTACATGGTTAAAAAATCACAACCTCCTAATAAATTACACAAAAACTAAGATAATACAATTTAAGCTGTAACAAAAAAACCCTCTATCTATAAATTATTCTTACAACAATACTAAATTAGAATGTGTTGATTCATATACATTATTAGGTGTAAACATAGTTTCAGGTATAAATTGGAAAGAACACAAAGAAAGTATCAACTAAGCTTTCCCATGTCAAAATTCAAGAACAACCATGTGTGCATACTATGCTTATCCCCATGCATGGCTCAAGTACGGCATTATACTGTAGGAAAACAGCACAGGTGTAAATAAATTATTTATTCTACAAAAAAAATGTATTCGCATAATTACAAACATAGATAACACTGTCAGTGTTATCTGTTTTCTATCTGTAAACCCTACTTCATTTCATTAAAAATATTAGCACTTACATCTATTATAAACTGCACACGGTGTGCAAATTTGATTCAAATTGGTTAAATAGTTTAGGAGTCCATCGCGGACAAACAATGTGACACCTAATTTATATATATATATATATATATATATATATATATATATATATATATATATATATATATATATATATATATATATATACTAGAAGTATGCGAATTTGTTAAAAAGAATATGCATCTTATTTCAATATACTCCTGGCCTCATTTTTTACGCCCTAATAATAAATTAGCTCCACCTATCACAAAATTATAAACACTTAAATCAGGGACCTATGTGTATAAAAATCCCCAAATGTCTACAAAAAGAAAAATTGTTAAATAAATTTCAAAGAGAGCTTAAAAAATATTTAATTGAAAAAAGTTTCCCCAGGCATTGAAAATACATTTTATAAGCTCAACACCTGCTTCAATCGTCAAGCAACCCATGTGCAACCAAATTGATTTCTATGGATAATTTATTAAAATTAAAAAAAAATTACATTTGATTCAAAATTATTTACTGAGAGTTGGTAGTACAGAAATAGATCTAAAATTAGTGGGGTCTAATATACTACCAGATTCAAATAAAGGTATTAACAATAACAATAAACATGATAGACCTTTTACATTCAATGGAAAACAAAACTGATGATGCAAGATTAGTTGATAAATTAAATGACTCATAGTTTTGTAATAAGAGTATGATTATGTTTCAAAGTTATTTGTTAGAAATATATAGATGTATTTCTTTAAGCAATTCGATGAATTTGTAATTTTATAAATTTATGCAACAGATATTGCTATTGATTATATGTGTACAATGATGACACCTAAATAATAAAGAATTTCATGTTTAAAACTCGTGAAAATATCATATGAAAAATATCAAAATGCAAATGTGTTGTCACTTGTGACTTTCATGTAAAAGAATTTTGGTAAACATTTTTTCCAGAAAATATTACCCAGGCAAATTATGATGAAATCAGAGTACCAATGGGAAAATGCCAAGTAGGTGAAAACAATAATAATGGAGCACATGCACTGCAATTAGCATCTATACATTTCCTGTGTAGTTTACATTCTTTTTGAATACTTTTTAAATAAAACAGAAGATATTTAAATACTTCTTCTCATAGTAGTAGATTTCTCATAATCACCATGTTTAACAGGCAGCAGACATGTGTCAATCGTAAATGATTCATATTGTTTGACCCGAGTCAAATCAAAGTTCTGATGATTGTAATTACATACATGAACATTCCGAATCAAACGATTGACAGGACCTACAATAAAAGTACAGTAATGTCCGACAGCTGACATAATCGAGGGGGTCTCACAAATCACAGAGTACTGAAACTCGAAATGATTCATTAGAATTATCGACAAGAATGACCCTGTTTGTAAAATGAATCGATATTTTGATGATTGGGTCACTAAAAATAAATAAATGACGCATGTCTAACAGGCAGATAGGAAATAATAGGATTACAAATACAGCATCATAATTAAACTTGTACAAGTAACCATGATTGAATAAAACTGAAATAATTTTATTATTTTGGGATCTTTCCAAGATTAAGTATTTTAAACAATTAACCTTCACAAACGATCAGTTAAATTGTTATCTTCTTAAAGAGATTTCAAAAAGAAATGTTATCAATTTTTTTATAGGATATGGTGACAAACAAGCACACAGTCCACATGATGTTAAGTGGTTGCTGCGGCCCATAGACATCTACATCTACCCTCGATTACAACAAAATACAGATGCGTTGTCACTTGTGAGGACTAAGATGAAATGCCTCGTTTCCAGTAAAGGGGTCTCTGGTTCTCTACACTTACTATACAAAATGCAGCAGCATTACGCTACCATTTTATGCTGGTATTCTGTGAGAGAGTAGTCCTTCCCTGGTCGAGCTGACCCATTCGTGCTACAACTATACTACTAACATAACTGCAGCATGGCTATACCATATAGAGAAATCTATTTAGCTGTTTTTTTTTCTAGAATGTTACATGACATCTTCGGTGATTGTGTACCAATTTTAATGATTCCTTCATATTAAATAATTATATACAATCATTCAAATCATTTCAAAGGTGGTCCGATATAAATATATAATAAATATACAGAGAATAATGCCACCCCTAAGGGTAAATAAAGTTTTTAATTTAACAATTTAGATTCTTGTTGTTACCTTGAGACTGTGATATTCCAAAATTCTCTCAAAAGGTCAAAAGAAATTATAAGTTTGAATAAAGTAAAAGCCAAACCAACTAAAGAGTGAAATTATTTCCATATAACTATTTTAGAATTCTGGGCTTTAAATCTTCTATACAGATTCTCTTAGCACCAACCTCCGAGTTGTTACTAGAAATTCTTTTAAGTTCATTGAAAGTTATACTTTATAATAAAAGTGCAGTTTCTGACTATATTAGTTAAAAATAATAAGAAATATTTTTTAAAACGGTTTAATGCACTGTATTATGCATATCTAAAAGAAGGATACAAAACCAATTCTATTATACAATAAATAAATATACTAACTTCATGAGCCTAGATGACCACACACCACACGATGGCTTCATTTCACGCAACATAACTGCCTTGGCCAGGTTTGTCTTTACTTGCTCGAGGAATTTTGTCGACTCCTCATCTAGCTCAGACGAATAAGGCAGGAGATGGTTAGTCAACATCTCCTTCTGGGGCTTGAACCCCAGAGCATTTATACGCTCTGGGGTCATTACAAGTTGCTCAAATTCTTCGTCTTGAATCATGTTGAATTATTCAATATAACAAAATATTAAAATAAGTAAAAACTGTGGCGAAGGCCACATTAGTACAACTAATTTATCGGTCACAAAATAAGAGGTGATCACGTCATTCACGTAATAATTTACTACTAAGTCTGAATCGAAACACTGAATTTATACAAGTCATGTAGGTAATTCTAAATGAAATAAAACCATGAAACCAATTCAATTTATATTACATTTACGTAAAAGAGAGACGACGTACGTTCCATTTTACGCATTGATCATAGATAAATAAATACTTTGTAGCAAGCTAGCATTGATTAGGTACTGGATATGGATAGTGGATATATATTTTACGCGAAAAATAATGACGTCACAGACTAACAATGACATTTCAAAATAAAAAGATAATTTGCAATGTCACGTCAACAGCTTAAAAAAGTACTGTGTTAACAGGAACAGCTAAAGCGCCTTCCGTCCGCCTTCATGACTCATCCCAGTAGCGGTGGGTAGTAGCGGCTTCTTTGAGTAACGAAACGAATCTATCTATCGAATATCAATAGCGGCTTTTGAAACACTCTATTTTAATAGAGGGTTTGGAAACACTCTATTTTAATAGCGGCTTCAATAGAGTGTTTCACGACGTGTTCAATTGCAAAACGTTGCGACCGTTGTTACCGTTTCGTATAGAATTAGACATGGTGTTAATGGTTAAATTTATTTATTTGTTAAATCAGTTCGCACGGTTTGATAAAAATATCACTTCGAAGTACACTGGCATTACTTCGAGACATTTTTGATAACAATCACATAAAGTTTTAGTATTATTTTTACACTTAGTTATTTACACTAATTACTGTACAATTATTATTATCAACACTAATATATACAATTATATTTAGTTTTTATTTTACTAAAAATATTATTATTGTTGCACAAAAAGGAAACAAACGCGCCTAAAAAGTAAAAACAAACCGTGTCATTAAACTTAAACAAAAGACTAATGTAAACCGGGCCAAGGCCACTTAAATTATGGTATTTGAACTATTTTTTGTTAAAAACATGTACACTTACTTTCTCATTTCTAATATCGCATCTATACGAAGGAAATAGAGTCATAGGTCAAATGCAAAAGCACACGCGCTCGCTCGACTTTCGACAACCGGTGGTACTTCTACCACAGCGTAAAAAGTCGGTTTTTTTTACTCATGTGCTTCTACTTCAACAGCCGAAGCAACGAAAATAGCCGAATAAACGTTTTGTTACTGATCGCTCGTTCGTGATTCGTGAAACGTGAATCGTGTTACTGAGTAAAACGTCTACTGTAATAGATAGTTTCGTTGCACTGCAATAACCCGCTACTCGCTATTGTGTGAATAGATAGTTTCAGTAACTAGTTACGTTTCGTAAAGACCACTCCTACATCCCAGTTCCCAGCTGTACGTCCGCTTAAGGGCGCAGTGGACGTAGCACCATTACATCTGTGGTAGCACATACACTATCCTGTTCCTGCGCGCATTTAGTTTTAGTTCAGCCTGGTAAATGAAAGATGCAGTTAGTCTGTATGCTAGATGTAATCGAACGAATTATATGAGCGCGCTTGTTTTATTTATTTGAAGTGGTACCAGTTTTATCAAAATACCAAAAATGGGAGTTTCTCACTTCGGAAAAAATGAGGAAGAAGTTTATTTATGATTACGGATTTAAATACTAGTAATACTACTAAAAAATGCAAGCTAAGTTTTAAGGTAGGTAGGTAGAAAATAAATGTGCCGATTCTTACTACAATTTTATTTAATACGTTCTTTAAACAGAAATTAATCAATTTTTAGGAGAACTAGTACCTTCTTTATTACTAACTCTTTTTTGTTAAGTGAATTATTACTTTTGATTGTTGCCTTTTTTGTTTAAAATTTAATGTAGATCTTTAGAGGGATACCTAAGCTCTTTTGTTAATAATAATAATATAGTGATGAAACGTGGTAAAATAATTTATTTCCTTCATTTGTCATCTCGCTGGGAATGCGCGTAAAGATTCAATGGTTGAAGGTAGATGAAAAAAGAGCAAACGCATGTATAGTTACTACATAAAATGACAAATGTGCTATATAGCCAGTATTCACACAATCCAACATGCTTGATGCATGACAGCTTTGACGTGCGTCCGACCTATTCAACATCCATCAGCACGACATAAAAAGCATTAGGGAGGCTGCTAGCTTGCTAATACAAAATCCATACAGCGTGTCCAGCAATCTTTATCTACAAAGTGCAATCTCTATATGGTAGAAAACATAGTCACTTCCCGCCATCTGTACGCTTAGATCTTTTTAACTATCTATGTTTTTAACTATACAACGGATTTTGATGCGGTTTTATTCAATAAGCAAAACGGTTCAAGAGAAAGGTTTATATGACATTACAGTAGAGAATTATGTAAATAAAAATCAATTACCGCATGTATGAAAGACATCACTTGAGCATGACTGGACTGATTTTGATGAAATTTTTTGTGCGTGTTTGGATGCGTCCTTGGACCCAGTAGGTGGCACTGTTGTCGAGATACAGAAATCACCCATGCAAAGCCACCCCGGCTTTGCATGGGATCGATAGTGAATGATAATAATTTTATTCTTTTTTCTTCTTTTTCTCTTTTTTTTAAACTAGGGTTTGCTCCTGTATCGTGGATGCAGTTTACAAACATAAATTGCACAAGGACAAACATCCAGACCCGGAACAATTATTTGTAGGCCATACAAATACTTGTTCCGTGCGGGATTCAAACCCGCGGCCCCCAGCGCTGCAACTCATTGCTAAGCCACTGTGCCACAGAGGTGTCGTATTGACGTACGTCAAAACTACTCAGTGTCATTTTGCATCGTGCGTCGTGCATAACCATGGTGGGACGTACAGCAATATGGACTGTGTGTAAGGTGCTTAACAGTATTATTGTTAGTACTTTGAGCATACAAAAGCAAGCTAAGTTTATGTACTTTAATCTTTATCATTTAATATTTATCAACACAGTCAAACCCTGAGGTCAATTACTTTAATAATTTGTGATCAGTAGTAATGTAAAGTAATGACCAAAGAAGATCAAACCTATAGAAATCGTATCAATCAAGAAATAATAGTTCATATTGACAATAAAACCTTCAAAGATCTACAGTTCTGTTATATTAGGGGTTTCACCTCGAAATGATAGATAGCTGTAAACTTGTATAATTCATTTTTATGGCATTCTACATGTTGTCCTAAAAGACTCATAAAAATGGTGTTTGTGTCTTAACATATTCAATGTCAAAGGTCATAAAATAGGCTTTATTACAAATATCCTAGTTCCTGTGGTTTCAATGCTATTTGCATTTATTACAAAAATTGTAGAGAATGAAATGTTTTACAACTTTTGCTTCAAACATTTTTTTAAAAACTTAACGTTTTTGAGATAGTGCGAAGAGCCAATCAAAGTATAATACAAGGTCAACCGTAAGTACCGGTAAATAATAAGTTAAATAAAAAGAAACCGACCAGAGGGAAAGCTACAAATACCATCTAAAACATAACTTGTAAAAAAACCAAGTCTCGCAACTCAGTTCTTCCACCGTAAAAAGTTGTGAGATCCGTGTAATACCAAGTCGGTTAATTTATTCAGTCCCTACTTAAGGGTCCTTCTGTCTTAAGTTCTTACGTAATTATAACAACATCTTATAGTGGCCATATCAATATTAAAATTTTTAAAGTTTTAAATAAATAGGTTGACCTGGCCATCGCATGAAAACACAATGTATGTCACAAATAATACATATTATATTGAATTAGATTGTTTAGTGCGATTGCCAAGTCAATCTATTTATTTGAAACGTAAAAGATTTTTAAGATTGATATGGCCGCTATACGATATTGTTAGGTTAGCTATGTTTATGTATTTTGTGTAAACATTTTTGACGTCGTTAGGAAGTTGCCCCTCTGGTCCTTACTACTTACTCTGCAATATAAAGTGTATTTGTACACTTTAATTTTTTATTAGAAATAATACATTAACATTAGTTTTAAACTCATACATAGATACATCCTGGTTCATAAATGTGTAATGAAGCGACGCCAATATTTTTGGACGCAACCACATGAGTAAAGAAATCGAACCGTACAGTTTATGCAAAGCTTTGACTAGAGAACGAAACTTTCTTCTCTAGTTAAAGATACAAAGGTACTCTGTGATGGGACATCTCCCACTATAAGCCACGGTATTTTAGGTGACACGTTCCAGCCTGCAGATATTAAAATTTTAAAATAAAAAATCTCATTTTATAGATCTCAATTAGCCCTTTCGACCTACGTTAATTAATTTATAAGCCCGTTTTTCGTTTTCCCAGGAAAAATAGAAATATAATTTTCAATTTTCCTCTACTTATAATAGCCATATCTCTTTGAAAAATGATTATTTTTTACTCTACCAAGCGTGAAAAAATTGCCCTTGCGCTAATTTAATTTGCCCGCGTGCTAATTCTTAAAAAGATTGTAAGTATTTTAAAGTAGGCATTTTTATTGGTTATAAACTCTGTAAATTTAGTAAAATTTTTCTATATAAGGAATCACATTTTAGTAATAAATTATTTTTTCACATTGTCCGTACAGAACGGCTCAAATAAAGTCTACTAAAATTCGTAGACTCGTGATTCAAATGACACTGACGTAGGTGACGTCAGAGTCATTCATAGAGATATAATACCTTATCAATTGCTGTATTAGAATATATTGCGGAATTTGTGTCAGAAAAAAGTTCAGATAGGTACCATGCAAGAAGAAGCAGTGACAAACTGTCTTATAGAAATTATATTAACAAATAATTTTGTTCAGAAATGAACAAATAATAATAATAATAGTTTATATAAAAATCTATCAAGATCATGAAACAGTGAATGAAATATGATATCCAGGATGTTATCCTGCATATCATATTTCGTGATCATGCCAGATTTTCGAATTTTTTGAAATTTGATAATATTTTTCATTTAAAATCC